TGCCTTCAACCCCCTGAACATTGAACATCCTCCTACAACCCTAAACCCTAACCCCTAACCCCTAACCCCTAACCCCTAAACCCTAAACCCTAAACCCTAAACCCTAAACCCTAAACCCTAAACCCTAAACCCTAAACCCTCAACCCTCAACCCTCAACCCTCAACCCTCAACCCTCAACCCTAAACCCTAAACCCTAAACCCTAAACCCTAAACCCTAAACCCTAAACCCTAAACCCTAACCTCAACACCCCCCAAGTCCCTCTGACTGCCAGGCACCGAGCCAGGGCTCATGGTCTTCTCGGCCCCGATCAAGGGCAAGGTCCTGCAGCTCCTGTCGCATCACATCATCTACGGCGAGATCGTGGTGCCAGGACCGCCGCGTATACCACAGTGGCAACATTGCTGGGAGTCTATGGGGGCTTTGCGATGTTAGGGGTACCCTTTTTGGGAGGGGATTCTATTGTATTTGGTGTGTGAAAGGGGTACCCTAATTTCGGAAACCCCCATATTGACAAGGACTCAAAAACAGAGGGCGGGGGAGGGGTGGGTGGGTGGGCTGAATCTAGCGGGGAGAAGGGATGAGCCGAAGGCGCCACCTACATCGAGATGGTGATCGCAACGTCTGCCTTCCGCCTTGGCATGGATGGCAAGCGCTTTGCCCTGGAGAATATCGGCTTCCAAAATCCATTGGTTCTCCGCCCATCCAACGATGACAAGGCCAGGGCAGTTGCATAAGTGCCAGTACCGGACACCCCGTCTTACTAGCAGAATCACGCTTCATATAAATAGGGTTTACAGTATTTAGGGTTGAAGGTTCCTGGCTTTGGGAGTCATACAGTTTATGGTTCTTGGGGCTTATCGGATTTCCAAAATGAACCCTAACTCATCTGGATTCAGTCTTATTAATCCTCATGAAGCCTCATTAACCCTCATTAACCCTCATTAACGCTCCTTGACCCTTGCTGACCCTTTTGAATACCCATCAACCTTCATTAACCCTTGCCAATCCTTAACCCTTGTTGACCCTTATTAACCTTCATTAGCCCTTACTAACCCGTGTTAACACTTATTAACCAGTACTACCCCTGGTTGACCTCTACTAACCCTTGTTAACCCTCGTCAATCCTTGTTAACCCTTGTTAACCCATTTGAACTCTTCTTATCCCTTGTTACCCTGAACAAAGCAACCCCGCAGGTGAACCCAGAGCTGAATCCTGGTGTGGACCTCTTCTTGCAGATCCAGGAGCCCCCTTCTTAGGGTTTTGGGTTTCGGGTTTAGGGTTTAAAGTTTACAGTAGGGTTTAGGATTTAGGGTTTGGGGTTTAGGGTGGGATGTGGGGGTTCATGAGTGCACCTGGGGGTTTATGGGTTTAAGGGTTTCGATAGGGGTTTCGGTTGCAGGCTGGGCCGCGGCATTGTGTTTCGGTTTATGGGTTGTTTGGCCTTGCGGGCTTACGGCCCACGCACAGATATCTGGCTACCAGAGCCAACACCACGCTCACAACATGCCCACAGCTGTGACGAGCTGCAGCCACAGGCTCCAACTCAAGCCACACACATCCCAGGAGTCAAGTTGCAATTCGCCCCTCCGTTTTCTCGTTTTGCTCCCTTGCAGGTCCACAGGCTACTTGTAGGTGTCAACAGCCCATCACTCGCCTAGGCCCCCCTAGCAAAGCTGCGCAGTCTTTCCAAGAAAGGGCATGCCGAAGAACAGGGGCTTGCAGTGTTTTCGGATGTGGAGGTTCGGGCTTCCTTTTACCAAAAGTTTCCGGATCGTCAGTGGGCCCTCAGTGAAGCTGGAAGGAGGGCACGGGCCGCTGGTCCATGAGCAGCGTGGAGTCTGGCACGTCGGACGTCATCAACACGCACGCGGAGGGGTCTCTGAGCTTCTTGGGCCCCAAGGCTGGGGGGAGATCCACCTCCCGAAGGTTTCTGGAGTATTTTTTAAATCGGGTTTTAGGGGTTTAGGCTTTGAGGGGGTTTGCTTCTACCAAGAAATCAGGGGAAGCTGTACCCATCCGCCCCCTTCTTTCCTCGGAAGCTCGGGCGCGATGCAGGGCTCCTCCGCCGGCGCCGAGCTCCGCCACCTGCCGCTGGAGGAGATCCGGTCCCGCTGCCCGGAGGAGGTGGAGGACTCCCGGATGTACGCGCCCGCTCTGCACATGCTGGGTTGCTGCCCTCACCTCAGACCCCCGTAAACTCTAAACCTTAAACCCTATCATGAACCCTGCTTTCTAAACCGTATATAAACCCTAAACCCTAAACCCTGTGGTCAGCTCAGGTGCCTTTTGCCAACATTGGCCTGCCGTTGCAGCCGCGCTTCCGAACCGTCCGCACCATCAAGCGCTCCGAGGACAGCAGTAGGAAGTTCCCTAGACTATGGTCCTGTTGTTGGTAAAGAAGGGCTCCTGTTGACCGCCATAATCAGACTAGATGCAACTCGCGCAAAATGTCAATGGAGGATGTTGCTTTTATTTTTTTCCCGAGGTTTTCCCCCAGGGCTCTCTCACAGAGGTCTTAGCTCCGTGCCGCGCTCGCGCGCAGGACGAAATCATCGCCTGGGTGGCTGCGCAGGAGGATGGCACGAACGCCGGCTTCATCTTCGGCTGCTCGGGTGCTGGAAGAGCAGTGTCGTGACATCCTTTCAAACCCGACGCCCTAAACTCCCTGAACCCCCTAGACTCCCTAAACCCTAAACCCCCGCAAGTCCCCAAAGCCCGTATTGATGGGCATCAACTGTCATGGCATCTTTCTGAGGCCCCGCAGTTATCGACGGCAGCTTTCAGGCGCGGCGCCCCCCAGGTTTGCAGGTTGCAGGCTTGAGGTGGTCACTCTCACTATAGTAACGGTAAGTACAGTTATGATTGGGGTTTTAAGTAACCATGAGCCTCCACGCAGGCCAGGGCTTCCAGGGTTGATGGGGTTTTGGGAGCGAATATGGCCTCCGGAGGGTTTAGGGGTGTTGGGGGATGAGGCTTTCTGCGTGAGGTTCGGGTTCTCAACACTTCTGAAACGGGTCGATCTAACTGATGGACCCTTTGAAGTACCCAGTGCGCAATACATCATAGTAATTCCCTCAAGAGGACCATCGTTCAAATCAGCCCCCAAGTAAACACTGGGGGTAGGGTTCGGGGTAGGGTTTCGGGTCTTGCGAAGCCTGTTTCAATCCAACTATAAACTACAGACCGTAGACTCATAGAAGTTGAATCTCATAGGGGGACAGACACAACTTCCTCTCTCAGGCTAGTTGCGGTCCCTTGTATGGGCCCTTAAATCGGGACCCCTTACATACCCCTTATTTTGCCCTGAACATATAAAGGGCCCATGAAACTACCCTTAGATCCTCCCTTTGCAGGCGAGCTGCGCCTTCCAGAATCTGGAGGCCCAATTTTTGGGGGGCCTTGTTTCGTTTTGGGGAGCTTTCGGGGAAGGTTTCAGGGCTTTGGGATTTTCAGGGCGTTGGGGTTTCAGCGTTTGAGGGATTTTTGGGGTTTCGGGGTGTCAGGGTTGAGGGGTTTGGGGTCTCCGGGGAAGCTTTCAGGGTGTTTAAGGTTGAGTGTTGAGGGCTTTTGGGCTTCGCTTTTGGGGGCTTTAGGCTGTTTAGGGTTCAGGGTTGCCAAGGTTGAAGGTGACAAGACTAAAGCCTCGAGCTGCGTAGTGCTCGCAACACTTCACTTCGGTCATATAGCTCCCAACCCTAAATCCCTTGAAGGGGGGGTTCAGACTTTAGGGTTTAGGGGAAGCCTCGAAGCTGTTTCTTTGAGGCGCTGCCCAGTCTCCGCATCCCGCTGTCCATCGACCGCGTCCAACTCCTGGGCCAGGGCTTCTCGCAAAAGGCGCAAGAGGGCCCTGGGTTTGCGCGCTTCGACTCGGGAGTGAGGAGGGAGTCACCTTTTGTGCCTTTAAGGATGGCACCTTAAGGCGTGAGAAGGGCTCCCACTACAGGGGAAGCTATTTCCCCAGTAAGAGCCTTTGACGTGTAGGGTTAGGGCTGAGGGCGCTTGCAGGAGGCGGAGTGCATAGGCTATGTTGCGCCAGGTTTGGGTGCATCATGTTCTCTTGGACAACAGCGAGAAGCAGATGGTGGATGCCTCAGCGCAGGGACACGCGGAAGGATGGCACACACGCCACGCGAGCTCTGAGGAAACAAATGTTCAGCTGGCGCGGGACGACCTGACAGTCATCTTGACCATGGAATCCTGGTGCAGACTTGGTGTGACTTTTTGCGACCAGTGGGCCACTGGCATAGTTCCATGCGCTCCAAGGATCGTATGCGCCTTCGAGAAGTGCGGCCAGAGCACATCGCACCTGGTCTGCCCAAGGGGTTTCTTCCCGATGGTGACTCTATTGATGGAGATTACCCTATCCTGGGCTCAGGCGAAGATGCTGGCTGCTTCAGCCGGTGATGCTGACGAGGACAGACATGACATGCTTCCTCCAAACCTGTCGGACCGCACTAGCTACTTTCAGTTGAATTGAAGTCACCTGAACCCTCTTTCACTGGCAGGACTTGCTGGAAGTTGAATGGGCACCTCTGGAAAGTAAGCTGAACAAGGCGGATGACCAGGCAAGATCTGCCCCTCCAAGCCCTCCAAACTCTCCCATGTGTGTTGTGAAAGACGTTGGTTGTCTGTTGCGGTCTCTGCAGATCGAGGCCCACTTGGCGCGCCCGCTCTTCGTGGGGCCCAGCCCCGAGCTCCAGCCAGTCCTGGCGCGGGAATTCCCGGAAGCAAGCTTCGTGGGCGGCGATAAGGCTCGGGCTTGGGAAGTGCGATTTCATGGGCGTCTTGTGGGAGTTCGTGAGATTTCATAGCAACCCCAGATCCTAACTAAACCCTAAACCCTAAACCCTAAACCCTAAACCCTAAACCCTAGACCCTAGACCCTAGACCCTAGACCCTAAACCCTAAACCCTAAACAGGACTCTCTGGAGGAGAAGCTGAAGGGAGGCACCTTTACGGCCGTGGTTCACGTGTCCGCGCTCGGGGAGGCCAACGAGATGGAGGTCCTGGAGTCCGCGCTGTACTTGGCGCAGGTGGCCATCCAAAGGGCTGCGGCCAAGTCGAGCACTCCCCCCATCTGGTGGGTGACACATGGGACCCAGGAGGGCACGATCCGCAGCTACATGCACTCCGGGCTTTGGGGACTTGCCCGCACGTTCCGCATGGAGGAGCGGGGAGTTGAGCTACGATGCCTGGACCTGGATGGGTCCCTCACCACGAGCGACGCCCTGGTTTCAAGCTTAAAGCACTGGCTGACCGTCTTGAAGGGAACAGAGGCCGAAACGGAGGTGGGGGGTTCTCAATGATGATCCTTCCTCGGGGAGGATCCCTTTCACAAGCGATTCCATTCTTAAAGTTTCTTGAGGACTAAAGAGCTGCTCAAAAGGGCACCTTCCTTTGGAACCATTGAAGGTGGTGGGCAACCTCGATGGCACCACCGCCACCGTCTCCAGGCTGTCCCGAAGTAAGGCGCTTCCGCTGAAGGCCACGGAGCTCCTCATGTCCTCGCGCGGGAGCCTTTCCAACCTGAGGCCCGGAGACCCTTGCTGTGCCCAGCCCGTGCATGCGATCATCTTGTGTGTGACGTGGTCCTTGAGACTGTTTGGTGTACACATGTACGTATGTAGTATGTAAGTATGTATGTACGTACGCACGTATGTATGTATGCATGCATGCATGTATGTAACTATGTATGTACTGTCAGTCAGTCAGTCTGTATATGTATGTATGTATGTATGTATGTATATATTTATAGTCAAACAAGACGTATGCGACGTTATGCTGTAAAGTTTCTCTGTCGACCTCCGTGTCCACTTCTCTGGAGGCCGGTCAACCAGGAGTCACGACGGGCGCCGGAAGCGACGGAAGCGGAGCGGGGTTTCTTGGGACCCTGTAAGCATGTCAGGGGGGCCGGGAGGGGGTTCCTAAAGTAGGGTCACCTTTCCAGGGTTCCTGCTTCAGTCAGATTTCGAGGCCATCTGCAACTAGCAGGGTTTGGTCCAAATCACGGGCCCTTGGCCTTTCGAGAAAAGCTGAAGCATTCCTTAGCGAGCCAAGCTTGTGAACTCTCTTCATTCTCCGTGGTTGCTCGGAGGAGCTGCGCGTCCGTGCCGTTGGCCTGAATTTCCGAGATGTGCTGAACGTTATGGGCTGCCTGGCCTCACTTTGTGTCTTCTTTGGTGCATATTCGAATTCTGGGGTTCAGCTGAAGAGCGGCCACAAGTGGGCCTCCCTTCAGGCCTCTACCCTGGCGATCCTGGCCCTCCTGGGGCGGATGCTGCAGGTGCCGGAGCTTCGAATCCGTAGTGGAGGGTTTTGAGATGTTTTTTTCGGGTTTCGGGTTCCTTGCGCAACCTCGCAACGGCTCAGCCCGCGCCTCTTGAGGTACAGTGCTTTCGACCGGCAAGGACATCTCCCACATTCGCAGCTCGGCTTAACATGGAGCCCGCCTCATACTTCCATGAGTCTCCCATGCCATTCCATACCTTCCCCCCTGAAGCCCAGGCCGGGGCGACGACGTCTTCGGCGAGACTCCCGGGTGCCTCAAAGTCTACAACGCCGGCCCGGGCGCACTCCTCACGCCTAAGCCGAAGACCTGGTCCTTCGAGGAGGTGGGAAGACATGTGGATGCTACGAAAACTCACATTTGTAATGAAGGTAGGCAGGGGTAGCATCTTCGTTTTGGGTTGCAGCATCTTGGCATCTCAGCTGTCGTTCTGAGGCTTGCTGCATGCCGGTGATCTTCGTCACGGTGGAGGAGGCCTTGGGTGACTTGGCACAGCTGAAGCGCGGGGAGCGCGTCCTGATCCACGCAGCGGCCGGCGGCGTCGGTTTGGTGGCCATCCAGTACGCGCAGTTTGTCGGAGCAGAGGCTGCTTTAACAGCAGTTAGCAGCCAAAGATTTTCCAGCCATGCAAGCATCATCTCCCCTTAGGAATCATGAAAACCCGCAGTTGTGTTGCCACTCAGGTGTATGCCACGGCCGGGGCAGACGAGAAGCACGAATTCCTACGTTCCATGGGTGTGAAGTACATCACCAGCAGCAGAAACGGTGCCAAGTTTGAAGAGGACATGAAGGCCTTCTTGGCTGAAGTGGGGGATGATGGCATCGACGTGGTGCTCAACAGTCTCAGCGCCTCTGCGGAACCAGTGGCTGCTGATCACACAAGGGCTTGTTCTGCATTCCACTACGCTGTTGTCCTCTTCCTAGGCACCTCTTGTATCCTCTTGTGCTAGAATCCCTTCTCAAAGGCCGCCGAAACGGATCCCCACGTAGAATCAACCCCAACGTTTCAAGTTCGGGGTTCATCCCCTCCGAGGCCATGATGACTACATTCCGCGGTCGCTGGCTCTTCTTCGCAAAGGTGGCCGCTTCATGGAGATCGGCAAGCGTGGCATCTGGAGCCACGAGCAGATGTTCGAGGCAAGGCCGGATGTCATGTACGAAAAGATCGCTGCAGACACCATGATGGACAAGGACCGAAACGCGTGGTACGATGTGGTAGGCGTGGCCTTCATTCACATTGATTCACAACAGTATCCAAAATCTACTAGGCCATGCGGCTGGGGACATAAAGTAGGGCAAAGCGCGACAAGGACAAGGCACGTACCCAGTTACATGGAGAAGGCAGTCTGTTGTTCAAGGGCCAACCAAGCAACACCATAAAGCAAGGAGCCTTGGCGCTACAACGGATACATGAAGCGTCTCATCAGCCGCGTGGACGAAGGCCGGACTGACTGCGCTGTTAGCCTTCCTTGTACTCTGTTTTGGCACCTGTGGTGCTATCCACTTCAGCAGAAGGAGCCTTGAGTGCTCGACAGGTGAATATGTGTGCGTTTGTGTGCGTTTGTGTGTGTGTGTGTGTGTGTGTGTGTGTGTGTGTGTGTGTGTGTGTGTGTGTGTGTGTGTGTGTGTGTGTGTGTGTGTGTGTGTGTGTGTGTGTGTGTGTGTGTGTGTGTGTGTGTGTGTGTGTGTGTGTGTGTGTGTGTGTGTGTGTGTGTGTGTGTGTGTGTGTGTGTGCGTGCGTGCCTGATGAACCCTTCGATGTGCCAGGTGGCCTCAAGCCCATCAACATGCATGTCTTTGAGGGCATGGAGACGGGAGTCAAGGCAATGCAGTTCCTGCAGCGTGCGCAGAACATCGGCAAGGTCGTGATCAGCCAGCCGAGCACGCTGGATCTGAAGCCGGACTCCCACTATGTCCTCAGCGGAGGAAGCATGGCTTTTCTAAAGCGAGAGTAGCATTCTGAGATACTATGAGAATCCCAAGTAGTACAACATTGTACAACGTAAGAATCTGTAGTCGACCCAAGAAGCTTTCATTGCAGTGAAATGGGCGAGGAATGGGAGCCCTTGGTATGGTGACGGCCCAGTACCTCTTGGAGGAAGGGGCAAAGTCGATGACGCTACTTTCACGAAGTGGCCGCAGCTTGGCGAGTGGGCTTTCAGGAGTGAGAGTTGGAAGTCCTCTGTGCTTTAAAGGCTGCCTCGTGACTGCATGCATGTATCTTGCCAAGGGCCATCCGCAGACATCACGGAGCTGTGGGCGGCCTTGCAAGACTCGAGTGTCGAGCTGCAAGCCGCCCCCTGTGACATCGGCGTCTTGGATGCCGTGCAGGATTTGGCCAAGAAGCTCCGGGAAGACAAGAAGCAGATTGCAGGCCTCATCCACTTGGCAGCCGTCTTGGCCGCTGCCCCGGCGAGGGGTTTTGCATTGTCTTGTCATAGGAACAGGCCTTGCAAGCATCAATCCTGAGACATGCGAATGCCGAGAAGGGGCAAAAGTGCTTCGACTCCTGCCAAGGACGACGCCACCATGCCGAAGCTGACCCGCGGCCACCTGGAACGATCCTACGGGGCCAAGGTCTGGGGAGCACGGCATCTACGCCTCTGCCTCCAGGAAGGCAAGTGGGACTTCTCCCTGCTCTTCTCCTCGACTTCCGCGCTGCTGGGCTCGCCAGGCCGTGCATATGTGGTACCGGCTTGAGAGTGCCTTGAGGAGTAGAACATAGTAGAACAGTAGAACACAGTAGAACACAGTAGAACATAGTAGAACATAGTAGAACATAGTAGAACATAGTAGAACATAGTAGAGCCAGTAGAACACAGTAGAACCCAGGGCCTCAAAATATTCGTGCTTGAGTTGATGGTGCTCGGTCACTTGTGACAGTCTCGTGCCTTCTGATTGCCAGGCCAAGGCAACTACTCCGCGGCCAACGCCGCGCTGGATGGCCACGCGCGGTACTGGAAGAAGTCCTTGCAGGAGCCGGTGGTTTCAGTGCAATGGGGGCCTTGGAAGGAGGTTGGCATGGCGGCCCAGAAGGGGACTGTGGAGCGGCTCCGCGCCTCGGGCGTGGGAAGCCTCACCAACGCGTTTGGCATGGCCGCTCTGGCCGGGTGCTTGCGATCGCCGCCTTCCACGACAATCGTGGCACAACCCATGCGCTGGGCGGTGTACCTGAAGCAGTATCCGAAGGTCCCGCCCTTCCTGTCCCGCTTCGCGAGTGAGGCTGGAAGATGTGGTTACACAGCCCTGAGCGCGCCTTGCGCACTCTTTTGAAAGCCCTTGCCCTGCAAGCTCTAAGTTGCTTAGAGCTCGTCAGAGCTCCTTGCTGCGTTGCTTGCAGGTGAAGACAGCGAAGCCGAAGAAGGCCGCGGCCCCTGCCTTCGGGGTTCGAGCAGCTGCTCCAGCTGCTGTGCCGCAGGTGGACAAGGCGCCCCTTGCTTTTCTCTTTTAGAACCGTGGGGGACACGGCGGAGCTTCCGAGTCCCTTCGCCCCTGCGAACTCGCAGGCGTCTCTGAAGCAGATGCTTCAGAGCATCGCCTCGGAGGTTGCTGGTGGTGGAGTGGTGGAGCAAGATGCTCCACTCATGGACTCTGGAATCTTGTCCGCAAAGCTGTGCGCTCAAGTTGCTCAGGAAAAGTTCACTTCACTTGGACCAGCTTGTGTAGATCTTGCATGCGCGGCCTGAGAAACAAAAACGCAAGGGGGTCTTTTCAGGCATGGACTCGCTCTCGGCCGTGGAGTTCCGCAACCGCTTCACAAGCAAAATGCCAGGAGACTTGAACCGCACTCTCCTCCAAAGGGGTTGCTTGTGGTTTCGTATTCTAGGCGTGCCTTTTGCAAATCGGGGTTCCCTTGTGGCCTCACAGCAGTCATGCACTCCGTGTAGCGAAGGGGTCAACTTGCCCAACACCCTGATCTTCGACTACCCCACGATCTCTTCCATCGCCGACTTCACGGCCAGTCAGATGGGACCAGCACCAGGTCCGGCCAGGAGCCCAGATTCCGCTGTCATCTCCATTATAGGGACGTGGGGACAGCGTGAGCGCCATGAGCAAAAGCAGCAGAAGCCACCAGGCTATGGCCAACGGCATGCCCGAAGCAATGATTCCTGCTGGGCCGAGTCCGACCGAGGCATTTGATTCTGCACGCTAAACCCTAAGCCCTAAACCCGACATCCTCTTAGACTGCCTCCTCAACACCCTCAAGCGCAAAGCTTATGAGAGAGCAGGTTTGGGTTTAGGGTTCAGGGTTTAGGGTTTAGGGTTTACGGTTTAGTTTAGGGTTTAGGGTTTATTGCAGGTCAAGGAGCTGCTGAAGCGCATCGCTTCCGACACCACCGGCGGCCTCGTGGAGGAGGACAAGCCGCTGATGGAGTCAGGCCCCGAAGGGCACTTTTTGGGGTTTAGGGTTTGGGGTTTAGGGTTTAGGTTTTGGGGTTTAGGGTTTCGGGTTTAGGGTTTAGGGTGAAAGGGGTTTTGGGGAGTCTTTTGATGTGGGGGGTTTCCGAAAACCTCATTGGGGTGCTGATTATAAGGGAGTCATCCGACTACTTGGGGGTTTAAATTAGGAGTCCCTCGTTTTCGTAAACCTTCATGGGGCTTTGGGGTTGAGGGTTTGGGTTTAGAGGTGAAGTGTTTAGGGGTCTGGGGTTAAGGCTTGAGGGCCTGGGGAGATGTTGACTACCACGTGGTTAGGGCCCCGGTCCCTTCTTTGGGGGGGTCCTAATGCTTTACATAAGGGTGCCCCAGCGGCTCGTACCAACAAGCTCCTGCAAGGAGTCCCCTCCCCCCCCCTCCCCCAATTGTATGAAGTGTCATCTTCCTCACTTGCCCTTCGCTAGATGGTTGCGAGCGAGAGAAAAGAGAATCTCATGGCCGCCTCGAGTGTCAGTGTTGTATCAGGCATGGACTCGCTCTCTGCCGTGGAGTTCCGCAATCGGCTTTCTAGCGAGCTTCCTTCGCTCGACTTGCCCAACACGCGGCTTGGAGGGCATGAAGTAGGGGAGGCCTCTTGAATGATTGCCTTTTGAGTTTCCTTTAGGGTTTAGGGTTTAGGGTTTAGGGTTTCTTGGCCACCAACCTTTCATCACACCAAGCAACGCCCCCAAGAGCAGCAGTGTAGGCTGATCTTTGACTATCCGACCATCGCCAGCGTTGCCGGCTACGCCACCGAGCAGTTGGGCACCACAGGTGCTCCGATGGCCATGGCAGGCCGGCCCTCCTCAAGCGCCCTGTACTTTGGGCTAAGGGGTTTAGGGATGTTTCGGACATCAGTTCTTAAGGGCCTTCCCTAAACCCTGAACCCGAAACCCAAAACCCCTAAGGGCCTTTTAGGGTTTAAGGGGGGGCTTAAGGGCCTAAACCCAAAACCACTAAACTCCTTAGGGCCTTTTAGGGTCTAGGGGGGGCTTTAGGGGGTTTGGGGTCGGCAGGTGCAGCAGCCCCACGGGGCCCACCCAGCAGCATGGATGAGCAGCTCTCCGTTGCTGGCATGGCACTTGGGGCTGCACTCTGTACTCGAGCCAAGAAACCTAAACCCGAAACCCTAAGCCTGAAGCCCTAAACCCTGAACCCTAAACCCGAAACCCTAAACCCTAAACCCTAAACCCTAAACCCTCCCAAAACCCAAAACCCTAAAGCCTAAACCTTAAACCCTAAGTTGCAGCATGGAAATTGGTTCCTACGGTAAGCATTGCAGCAGCATGGCCCTCGGCGGCACTCCTCAGGCCGCGTACTTCCCAGGGGCAGCATCAAATTGCAAGACCTTCCACTGCGCCCTCACCAAGGCAGTTGAAGGGAATCCAAGATGGGTTTAGGGTTTAGGGTTTAGGGTTTCGGGTTGAGAGTTCAGGGTTCAGGGTTTCGGGTATGGGGTTGCGACGTGCAACTCTGCAATGCCGCGAGTCTTTCTAAGCCAAACCTTGAACTTTAATGCCAGATCCTTTTTCCTTCTCCTTTCCGTTCTAGAAGAAGGAGGCGGAACCTAACTCGGCATGCTCGTTGGAGCTCAGACATGCTGCCCTGAACCCTGACCCCAGGGCGTGGATGGTGGGGTGGAAGTGCCCTTTACGCGTTGGGAGTTGGAGGAAGTGTGGGATCCGAACCCAGATGCCCAGGGCAAGATGCACCTGAATTGCAGAAAGGGGACAAGCCGCCCTTTTTGTTTAGAGGTGCTGTTTTTAAAGCCAGGGCTGATTCTGAATCCAAGGTATCCAAGACACGGTAACTTCGTTGAGGGCGCCGAGTTCTTCGATGCCAAGTACTTCGGCATCTCCCCGCCGGAGGCCGCATCACTTGAACTTGTAGGCCCAGCCCAGCCTTGTGGCCCAGACTTGGGGTCCACTTGTGGCGCTTAACCGGGTACTTGGAGGTTCATGGGTACTTCTCACCCCAAATATACGTCTGCTCATAATTTACTTACGGGACTCAGAGGGCCCTGTGAGTACAGTTAGAGGTTATAGTTGGCGTTATAAGTGCCCCCGGATTCGGGTATACTCAACGTGTGTGCTTTTGTTGGCGTTATAAGTGCCCGCGAAGCTCCAAGTAGGCGCGGGCGATGGACCCCCAGCAGCGCCTGCTGCTCGAAACGTCCACCAACGGCCTGCTTGATGCGGGGCTGACAAAGCAGGAGCTCATGGGAAGTGAGGCCCTGGCCTCAGTTCCCCCCTGCGAAAAAGCCCATGTGTCTCTGCATGTCATCTATATATAGATAGGATCCATCTCTCTTGGCATCTGTTTTCGCCTGCCTGCCAGCCTGCCCTCTCTCTCTCTCTCTCCCTCCCTCTCTCTCTCTCTCTCTCTCTCTCTCGGTCTGGCTCTCTGGCTCTCTGTCTCTCTGGCTCTCTGGCTCTCTTTCTGTTTGCTTGTGCTTGTCAGCTTCTATTCTCAGACTCATCTTCAGGTCTCCGTTCATGTGGGCCTTGCAAACAACGACTGGATCCAGATGCAGAGCTGGGACTGGCGGAAGATTAGCCCATACACAGCTACGGGAATGTCGTTTTCCGTCTCAGCCGGTCGAATTTCCTATGCCTTGGGTCTCAAGGGACCCAGCTACATCGTGGACACGGCATGCTCCTCTGCGCTTGTTGCCTTGGATTGCTCTGCCACTGCACTCCGAAAGGGCCGCTGCATGGCAGCCTTGAACACGGCGGCCAACATCATGGCCAGCGCAACCACCTACATCAGCTTCAGCAAGCCGCGCATGCTCTCTGCAACGGGGCGCTGCTTGACCTTCGACGCATCAGCTGATGGATATGCACGAGGTGAAGGTGCAGGAGCTGTGGTGCTGCGCAAGCCCGCGGATGCGATCTCTGCAGCAGCCACGGTGGAAGTGCCCACAGCTAGTCTGGAGCGTTGCGCGCTCTTGGGCGTGGCCGTGAACCAGGATGGCCGTAGCTCCACGCTGACGGCCCCGAACGGCCCGTCTCAGCACATGGTGATGATGGTCGCCTTGGCAGAGGCACGACTTGCGGCCGAAGAGATCATCCACATGGAGTGCCATGGCACGGGTACACCGCTAGGCGATCCCATTGAGATCGGCGGCATCAAGTCCGCGAACGCATCCCGAAGTGCTGACACGCCAATCGTGCTCGCAGCGGTGAAGTCCAATTGCGGTCACCTGGAAGGCCCTGCTGCCTCCACCGGCCTGATCAAGTCCATCGCATTGATGGAGCATGCATCCTCAATGGCATCTCTGCATCTTCGTCAGCTCAATCCCAGCGTGGCTGCCTTGCACGATCTACCAGGTGTCTTTGTCACCGAATCCGTGTGCATCTCCAAGCTCATGAAGCCACAAGGCAAGAGCCAGGTTTGTCGCCTGGGAGGTGGCCTCTCATCCTTTGGATTTGGAGGGACGAACGCGCACGGAGTCGTGTCTGCGGCAACAGAGGCCGGGGAAGGGTTCCGCATGGAGCTGGCGCGCAAGGAGGCGACAGCCCCACCCAGGCAGCTACCCGTGGCCTTTGAGCGCCGCAACTTCGCATGGCGGGAGGTCGGCTTCAGGTTCTTGCGTGCCAAGCCCAGCGACGGCATCTTTGAAGTGGCCATGCGCATGGATGTCTACGATGTGGTGAAGCACCACGTCGTCTTTGGCTCCATCGTGGTGCCGGGTGTGGTCTTTGTGGAAATGGCCTTGGAGGCCACCCGGGAGCTCTTCGGCACGGGGGTGCGGATCACGGATGTGAACATGATGTTCCCTTTCGTGATTCCGCTCAGAACCACCGGGGCCGAGCCTGCCGCCATCATGCGCTTCGTGCTGAAGTCGGATACCCGGTTCCAGATTGAGAGCACCTCGGCCACAGGCACCGTCACGGTGCACGCAGAAGGTGGCATCAATCGCACCCCACCCAGGGGCGAGGAGGCCGAGGTGGATGCTGCAGCCAAGGCCACACCAGTTGACTTGGAGTCCTTGAAGGCTCGGGTGGTGGAGGTCGTTCCTACCAAGGATGTCTACGCTGCCATTGATGGCGTCGGCTTGTATCTGGGCCCAATGTTCCAGACGGCCAAGCAGTTGTGGCGGAAGGAGCCGGACGAGGGCAGCGAGAGCAAGGTGATCGAAGTTCTTGGACGGCTGAAGCTGGACGATGGTGTGCCCAACGTCGGCTATGTGCTGCATCCGGCGGTCTTCGATGGCACGATCCACAGCTTGGGAACTGCATCTGTCGGCAAGAACGTGAATGATCTGAAGATCTTTGGTGGTGTGGGTCGCGTTTCAATCATCCAGCATGAGAACTTCTCTCAGAACGAGGAGTACTGGATCTGGCTGAGTATCAAGGAGAAGCTCGAGGCGTCGGAAACCTTCGATCTCAAGGCTGGGCACGTTTCTGTGGAGTGAGGCCCTTTTCGATGCTTGTGATGTACCGTCTTAGCCCCCTGCAAGGTCATGTCCAGCAACGGCACAGTCCTGATGCTGATGGACAACGTGGTGTTCCGCAAGGTCCTGCCCGAGCAGATCCAGATGGCCATCGCGGCCCAATCCACCCCGGAAGATGCCCGAAGCCTCAGAGCTGACGGGCTTGTGCACTGAAACCCCTAAGCCCCGAAAGAGTCCATCTTTAGACCACCTTAGCCCCGAGTGACAAGCTGAAGACTGAGGACCAGAAGATTTATGAGATCGAGTGGCAGGACGTCCCTGAGAGCGAGGAGGCTTCCGAGCCTTCGGATGAGCGCTGGCTCGTCTTGCACCACAAGGCCTCACAGAGCTGCCCGGCTGCCAGGGAGGGTTCAAGCAAGGCTCCTCATGAATACAGGGGTCGGAGTCATTACTAAGAATATTCCCTTATGGTTCCTGTGTAGTTGTACTTCATCACCCCCCAAAAACCCTATTCTAATTATTCAGGCCCCTATAGTAGGCGAATCATCTTATTGGTGCGATTGTGGCAGCTGTTCGTGCCATGAAGACCAGTATGCTGTCTTAACATAATTTGATGACCGGATTCTTGTACTGTGGTATTCGAATTTGTGCTATTAAGTTTGGACTTGCACATTGTTCTTTCGTTCATCTGCGCTGAAGGCTTGCTGGATGAGCTGAAGTCTCATCTCGGCAGCAATCATGCTTATGCGAGCCTGGATGACAACGCAGACTGGGGAAAGTTCCACGACTACTCCAGGCAACTGCAACCTTGTTGATAGGAACTTATTAGCTGTTCTTCTTGATACGGCCACTTATCTGAAAAATATGGTCCTTTTGGGGGTCCTTATTCTAAGGCGGCCCCTCTATGTAGGGCACCCAAAAAGGGACCACAATTCAGAGGACCATATGTTCTGTATTCGGCCCTATTCGGCATCATGAAAGACTATGCAGGATCTAGGCGACGCAGCTCTGGAATCAGTAGCCTCCAAGCATCCCATAGCCACAGCCTCGTGGACCCCATCGCAGCTCAGCTCTGGGAGGAAGAGAGCAGTCATCCGCTGAAAGAAGTAGGTCCCTAAGTGCCTTTAGTTCCTTGTTCATATCCTCCCCGTTTTTTGCAGGGTGGTGAGCATCGCCGGCACCGGGGCCCTGCCAAACAATGCGACTTCAGCGGCTGCCGAAGTCCTGGATGTGCTTGACCGCACGCTCCGCCTCATGCAGGCCATGGCCAAGGCTGCCAAGGAGGACTGAGCTTGTGCGGGGTTTCCGCTGCAGTGCTGCGCTGCAGGGTTTGAAGAAGGAAGAAGGAGGGAAGGGAGAGACCCTGTTGACGTGCGCCATTTGGGGCGGGCCATCTCGGTGTTACGCCTGACGGGAAAGGGAAGGGAAGAGAAGGGAAGGGAAGGGAAATCCTGAACCTTAAGCCCTACCTACACCCTATACAAACCTAAACTCTAAACAGGAAGGAAAGAGCGGGATTGAGCGAGAGAGAGTGAGAGAGCGGGCCCCTGGTCGCCTCGGATTACCTTGCAACTGAAGTCCCCATGCTCACCTAATCTGCCCGTGTATTCGCAGGAGGTTCGCCCAGTAAACCCCTCGAAAAAAGACAGAACGAAAGAACGAAAGACAGAAGGAAAGAAAGATCGAAAGAAAGAAAGAGCCGGAGGGAGGGAGAGAGAGGCAGAGAGAGCGAGCGAGAGGGAGAGAGAGGGAGAGAGAGAGCGGGCAAGCTGCCGACAAACAACTAGTATAGGCGAGCACATGTTTTCCCGAATGCATTCCCCCATAGCCTGGGTGCATGTCCGGCTGAGTGTTTGTGCCCGGCACGCGCAGGATGGCGCGGAGGGCATGCCGGAGCTTTGGCTTCCAATCTGCTTGAGCAACGCCGTCGTCGAGGGCGATCTGGCATCATCTTCGGCCACCCTTCCGGCAAGCCACGCGGGGATCTGGGGCTTGGCAAAGGCCAGCAGCCGGCAGGGTCCCGGTAGGATCCGGTAGGTTGCGATGGTAGGAGGATCTCGCACCTCTGCATCTAAGAATGTGCCAGGCCTTCCGCAACGAGCACCCCGAGCTTGCCAGCACGGTGACCTTTGACGTGGAGGAGGCAGATTGCTCTGCCAAGGGCCTGGCCAAGCAACTTCAGTACCTTCAGAAGCAAAGGGCTGGTGGCTTGACGGAGCCGGAGCTGGCGTCGCGCGGCGAGGGCAAGCTCATGGTGCCCCGGTTGGTGGACTCGACGCAGCGGCTGCAGAATGAGGCGGGTGACCCGAGCTTTGGTCCCGAGGGCATGTACATTGTCACGGGTGGAACCGGTGCCCTTGGGCTGCTTTTCGTGGACTGGATGGTCCGCTGCGGTGCCCGACACTTTGCCTTGCTTTCTCGAAGCGGCCAGCCGCCCGCCGACTCCAAGGCTGCCTTCCGCAAGCTCGAGAAGCAGATGGCCAAGATGAAAGACGTGACCTTCTCCGCTCGCAAGTGCGACATCGGCTCTGGGGCCGATGTCTTGCGTGTTGTCACCCAGGTGCTTGACGAGCAGCATGTGGTGAAGGGCATTGTGCACGCTGCCGGCACTCTGGCCGATGGCCTCATCAAAGACGGTCAAGATCGGGCGACGCTGAAGACGGTATGCTCCGCCAAGGCAGGCGCTCTCACAGAAATGCCCGCATCATGCCATGCTTGGTCGTTAAGTGCAGGTGGATGGATCCTTGCAGCTCCACAACGCGGCGGCCCAGCTGGGCCTGCCACTGGAGGCCAGAAGTGCTTCAAGGAATATGAAAAGAAGCAGCGAAGCATAGCAAGGCTGTTTTAAAGCATCCGACTTGTGTACCGTGATCTGAGCTTTTCCCCACGCAGTTCATGTGGCTGTTCTCCTCCGTGGCGGCCATGATCGGGTCTGTTGCGCAGGGCTTCCTGGCAGAAGTTGGCGTCTGAAAGCGGTTCCTCCCTTTCCCTCGGCCCTTCCTTGCGCAAGTTGCGCGTAACACGGATGAGGGTTTAGGGCCTTTAAAGGATACATAGGAGTGGCTTTCTTGAGGTAACTACTGCGCGGCCAATGCTTTCATGGATGCTATGGGCGCCCGCCGGCGGGCGCGCAACTTGCCAGCTGTTTCGTTGCAGTGGGGCCCGTGGGCTGATGTGGGCATGGCGGCCCGGGCCGGCACATCCGAAGGCGCTGAGAGCACGGGGTCGTGGTTGGGGCCGCTACGGATGTCCCCTTCAAATTAAACTTGTAATGTGATAGTATTGAAAGAGCTTGTTTCAGTGTAGCTGCTGAAGGGGGAAAGCAACCCAAGGTGCCAATCTCTGAGCCTCAAACCCTCCCGACACCCCTAAACTGTAGACGTTGTAAACTTGGCAGCCTGTAAAAATTCCGAAAGCCCTCATACTCAAACCAACCCAACACTTTGGAACACGAGACCTGAATTATCCGAAGCCGTCAGCCCTGATTCCTACAGCAAGCACCCCTACAACCTAAATCCTCAACCCTGAAACCCCAGTTCCTGAAGCAAACAGCCTTAAACCTTAAATTGTAACTCCCTACGCCCGAAACCCTGAACTCTGCACCCTAAGCCCCAAACCCTAAACCCTAAACCCTAAGCCCGAAACCCTCCAGCCCAGCCCTGAGGCCCCCGAAGCCCCAAAGCCCCGAAACGCAGGCAGCATCGCGCGCCTGGACCCCCAGCGCGGCCTGGAGGCTATGGCCCTGGTCCTTGGCGCCTCAGACAACCTCCGACCTGCAGGCCTAGGGTTTAGGGTTTAAGGGTTTTAGGGTATAGGGTTCAGGGTTCAGGGTTCAGGGTTTAGGGTTTAGGGTTTAGGGTTTAGGGTTTAGGGTTTAAGGTTTAGGGTTTAGGGTTTAGCAGGCCTTTCGGTGGGCCGGGGGTTTGAAGTTTTGCCTGAGGTTTTTGGGAGGACGCAATCAGATTTATACCAAACCTATCAGGTTTATACCTATCCTAACAAATGTATGCCTGGGTTTATCTTAGGGTTTGGGGGCTTTGGGGTTTAGGGTTGCGGGACCCTAATGTGAGGGCACGTGCTCAGGCCACGCTCGCCATCCACCACCGCCCACACTATACTCTACTAATCTGTGAAGGTTCAGATCTCTAAGAACAGGCTCCTTTCTCTGTATGTTTCCGAAGGGCATATTGTGTTTTGTGATATGTTTGTTTCTAGACAGGCACACGCTGCGGTAAGGGAGGTTCCTGGGTTCAGAGAAGGGTCCAGAAAAAACGCCATGAGTGGCTCATTCGATCGACTTTGTCACCAGTGAGGCCAACAGTTCTCGACGGAAGCGATACCTCACGTTTCGGTTTTAGGGTGGGGGGGGGGGCCTATGTTTGGGCTGTAATGACATTGTATACGGTCCGGGCACCCCAAAATGTTTATTGTTTGGGCACTGTGGGGCAGAGGCCGTTCCGTTTGAGGCAAAGTGCGAAGGCTTGAGGGGTTGCGTCTTGCATATCCGCGTGCAGCATTTCTCGTGGATCCTTGGATCTCCAATGCCTTTCACAAGTGTTGCTTCTTGATGCATTTTCACCACGCCCGGCGGGTTCCTAAAGGGCTTGGGGGAGTAGGGAGGTGGGGTGAGGGGGGGGGAAGGAGATGAGGGTTTCAATGTGACCATCGAACCATGCCTCTGACGCCCGGCAGGTACGCTGGGCATTGCCCGGATCAAGTGGAAGTCGCTCTTGGGCCAGATGCCCAAAGTTCCGCCGGCAGGAACCCTAGAGCATCCTAGAGCAGAGAGAAGGGACGTAAAGCAAAGTGTATGGCAGCTTGTTGTTACCAGGCTTGAGGCTTTGGGGCCATCCCTTCTTGCCTTCTGAGGTGCTGAGCAAGTTTGGGGGAAGCAGCGGTCCCAAGAAGGCAGCGGCCGCTTCTGGCGCCGTTGTGCCTGGGCTGCATTGTGCCTAAAGTCTCAAACTCATCCTAACTCCAAAGTCTAAATAAGCCCCTCAGCCCGAAGCCACCCCAAGGACCTGAAGCCCTAAGCCGTGTTCAACCTCAGCCATGGCCTTGCAAGGCCAGTAGACCACCAACACTACTGTTGCTTGAGCAAATCAGGTCAGCGCCGATGACATCAAGGGCGTGGTTGTCGGCGTCCTTCAGGACCTACCCATGACAGTGAGGGGAAGCTGGCATGTTGCTGGTAGCAGCTGTTTGCCCGACTTCCCCTGAACCGAACCTCTATGAGCAGGACGTGCTGGAAGGGTCTGGCGATCTGGATCTGTCCACGCCGTTGATGGAGATGGGCTGCTCGGAGACCGTACGCAGTGGGAGGGTTTGGGACCCTTTGAACCTGGAGGTATGAGTGACATAGAGTTTTGTGGTGTTGAAAGACATCTTCAAGAATGTTCTGGACATTTGTCCGTGCTGACATGTCATTGTGTGGTGTTGGGCAGCACCGGCAAGATTTATGAGCTCCCATGGAACACAACCCATCCTGGCGAGGTTTGGACTCATTGGCTGGCGTGGAGTTCCGCAATCGGCTTCAAGCATCTTTCGAAGGATTGCAGTTGTTGCTGCCCCAGCAATGCATTTCCCCACATACTTGCCAGCTTTTGCTTGCTTCCATGCCGGGAGCGTTTGGATTTGCTGAGGTCCTCAACTCTCATGTTTGACTACCCTACGGTTCCAGATCTGGTCGACTACATCCACTCGCAAGCATCTCGCCCAGATACACGTAGGCTGCACCGGTTTCCTTATCGAGCCAGGGGCGGTGAGGGGCGATGGCAGCTCTAAGCAGCAAGGTCGGACCTGCAGAAGACGATCTGGGTGCGGTTGGGGGAGCCACGTTGGGTGATATTGGGGCGATGCTGGCTATCGCTGCTTGACTTTGCATTTTTGTTGCTCTCTTTCCGTCACTTCCGTGATGCTTTCTTTCATGTTCTTTGGGGGGTATGGTTGAGGCCAGCCATGCCGGACGATACCCTGGCTGCTTCACAAACAATGCGGCTCACGCGACATTCAGAAGCAGTCTCTTGCAGTCTCTTGCCATCTTTCTGCTCGCTGCCTTGGCTGTTTGTGGCTTTCAGGTGGAGGAATATTGGCACAACATGAGCTTAGGCTTTGTCAGGCACTCAGATGTTCGCGCTTCGCGTGTTCTGTGTTGGCAGCACTCAGTGTTCTCGGGCTCAGGACACGACGACGGAGCTTCCGCCAGAGCGCTGGGACATGGATGCCTACTACGATGCCGACGTGGATGCACCAGGCCGGGCACGCACCAAAGTACGTTCACGTTCTGGTCAGTTCTGAAGATGATGGCCTCTTTTCAGGCCCCTCTTTGAGAAAGAGCCTGGTATTTTAGAGCCCCCAAAAGGGGATTTCTGAACATGCCATCAGTGGTTGGCATATGCATATGAAGATCTTGCGCTGAAATGTACAAACACAACCAATCAGCGAAGCTACCAAATGCCATAGAACTATCAGTTCCCACTTCTCCCTGCTAAGCCAGCTCTCAGCTTTGAAGCCCTTAAACCCCAAGTCCCTAAACTCTGTAAACCTCAGCTCCAACGTCGTTCGACCCAAAACCCCCGCACCCCGAAAGCTGAACCCCCAAACCTCCCAAACCCCTTAAAACTTTCAACCGCTAAGCCCTGAACCCGAAGCCCCCCCTACCCCCCCTCCCTCCCCCCCACTTCTCCCAGAACCCCTGCAGGCAAGACCTACGTGCGGCTGGGCCACTTCATCCCAGGCCACGCCTTGCCAGAGAAGCTCTCGCGGGGAGTTTTAGTGGGCATGGTTGGGCGTTTGCCAGAAAAACTGAGGGTAGCTTTGGGTCTTTTGGGGCTCGGGGTCTGGGGTGTTACCAATCTGACTAAGCCCCATTGAATCTCCCTTTTTCTTCTGGCCTCTTGAGCCCGAAGAGGCATCGACCAATTTGATGGCGACTTCTTCGGCGTGTCGGAGGCCGAGCTCCGATCCATGGACCCCCACCAGTGCCTCGGCTTGTTAGGCTTTGATCTTCTTCTTCTTCTTCTTCTTCTTCTTCTTCTTTTGGAACAGTAGCTTAGGTTTAGGATTTAGGGTTTTGGGTTGAGGGTTTCTTGGGATACTGTAGGGGGGTTTAGGGCCTTCCCACTGCAATCGCAACCTCTCAACCTCTCAAGTCTGCTTGCTGAGGTGGCTGGCTTTGGAGATTAGCCACTTTGCTGCAGCTATCTCGTGCAGGTCTGACGTGCAGAGCCCTGAATCTTGTGATGCCCCCGATGCCCGCTGACAAGGTTACGAAGCATTCCACGCAGCCGGCCTCAACAAGGACAGGGCCACTTTGCACCAGCATTTGGTAGCACAAGAAACTGAGGGTAAAACATGTCAGGGTTAGGGTTTTCGCGTTTTGGGAAGTTTGTGCAGCACCTGTGCAGGAGTCTTTGCAGGGAATGGATTGCGGCGTCTACGTTGGCTGCTGCAACTTGGGAGGAAACGATGTCGACCCACTGGGGCTCCTTGGCCTGGACCTACAGTTTCATGGTCTGCTGTGGAGGCATGGGTAGTCGGCCATGGCGCTTTCCTTCTGGCTAGTTATTATAGGTAGGGTTCGATATACCCAAATTACAACTCTGCTACCCTCAACCCTAAACCCTAAACCCCAGAAGGGGCAAGAAACCAAGGCTCGGCCCCTTCTCCAACATCGGCTTCGCGTATTCCGGCCTGTCAGGCCTGAGCCGCCTTTGCTCCAGCCGCGTCATCGCAAGCCGCAATCAAGTAGAACACGCTCAGCCCAGTGAAGTCAGTTGGGAGTGTACGAAAATAGGGGACCCCCCAAAAATAGACCCCCAAATAGTGGGATCCCCTTGTAAAAAAGGACCCCAATAAGGTACCACTAATTTCGGAAACCCCCAGTCCAGTTTTCAAATCCTTGATCCAAACCGTGCAGCTGCAGAGGCCGCATCTCGCACGTCCTGTCCCTGCGGGGCCCCTGCTTCACAGTGGACACGGCCTGCTCTTCCACGATTGTGGCCTTGGACTCTAGCTGTCAAGCAGTCAGAATGGGCAGGCCTGATGGGTGCTTGGGATGATGCGGGGAGTTGTAGGGAGTTGGGGGCTTACAGGGATACTCATGGATGATTCCCGGGCGTACTTTTTCAGACCTCCGAGCTGCTTGGGGCTTTTCTCGGCAGGTGCCAGAGTGCCGTGGCAACTGGTGCCAACGTCCAGCTGTCGGGATGTATCTGGGTGGCTCGGCGACGTGAGGGCTTCGTTGTCATTCAATATGGTCAAGATGATTCATATGATTGTTCCTTCTTTCGCGCTCTGACTAAAAAATCCATCATCAACAGTACTAACGTTATCATCCTTACGTGCTTCTTATGATTCGGGTCGGAGACGGGCGAACGCAGGTCGGCTTCTCCAAAATGCGCGGTTTGGCCTTCGACGGGCGCTGCAAGACTTTCGACTCCCGGGCCGACGGCTTCGCGCGTGGTGAGGGCATTGGCTCTGCCTTCATCCGCCAGGGCAGCACCGAGGGCTCGGAGGTAGTGAACCTTGTCGGCCTCAGCGGTGTCGCCATCAACCACGACGGACGTGCTGCGACCATCACGGCACCCAATGGAACTGCCCAGCAACGCGTGCTGAGGGCGGCGCTCGCCGATCGGGCGACCCAAGCCGAGGACGTTACCTGCATCGAGTGTCACGGTACCGGAACGGCCCTGGGCGATCCGATCGAAGTGGGAGCCCAGAAGGCCGTCTACGGAAAGGGCCGCAGTGAGTCGCAACCGCTAATTCTCGCAGCCACGAAGTCCAACATCGGCCACTTGGAAGGCTGCCTGGTCATGCAAAGGGGACGGAGGTTCTGCTGCGGTCTGCTGCAGTGTTCAGTCACACAGTGTGTGTGTGTGTGTGTGTGTGTGTGTGTGTGTGTGTGTGTGTGTGTGTGTGTGTGTGTGTGTGTGTGTGTGTGTGTGGGTGGGTGTGGTTTGTTGTGGTGTGTGTGTTTGGTGTGTGTGTGTGTGTGTGTGTTGTGTGTGTGTGTGTGTGTGTGTGTGTGTGTGTGTGTGTGTGTGTGTGGTGTTGTGGTGTGTGTGTGTGTGTGTGTGTGTGTGTGTGTGTGTGTGTGTGTGTGTGTGTGTGTGTGTGTGTGTGTGTGTGTGTGTGTGTGTGTGTGTGTGTGTGTGTGTGTGTGTGTGTGGTGTGGTGTGTGTGTGTGTGTGTGTGTGGTGTGTGTGTGTGTGTGTGTGTGTGTGTGTGTGTGTGTGTGTGTGTGTGTGTGGTGTGTGTGTGTGTGTGTGTGTGTGTGTGTGTGTGTGTGTGTGTGGGTGTGTGTGTGTGGGTGTGTGTGTGTGTGTGGTGTGTGTGTGTGTGTGTGTGTGTGTGTGTGTGTGTGTGTGTGTGTGTGTGTGTGTGTGTGTGTGTGTGTGTGTGTGTGTGTGTGTGTGTGTGTGTGTTTGTGTTTGTGTGTGTGTGTGTGTGTGTGTTTTGCGAAAGTCTGCCCGTCCGAGGCTCGGCCGGCGTGGCGGGCATTTCCAAGGTGATCTTGGCCATCACAAAGGCGCACATCACACCAAACCTTCATTTGGAGACCCTGAATCCCAACATCGACCTTGGTGGCTTCACGGTCTTGATGCCGGACAAGCTCGTGGAGTGGAAGAGCGCCAGCCTCCGATCTGGCGTGTCATCCTTTGGTTTCTCCTCTACAAACCAGTGTGCTTTTTCGTTTCGTTGCCCTTTGCTTTCATGAGCGTTGGCCTTAAGTGCTCTTAGTTCTTCCAAACTCTAAACCCAATGCATCTGGAAAGCGAAATCGGGGGTCCTCATGACTGAGACATACGGCAAGCCCGAGCTCTCACCCGTCCATGTTCTCATACTGTCCCCACAACGGCTACAACAACGTGGGCAAACATGCATCATCTCAACACATTTACATGCAATGTTCATGAAGTTGGAACCTTGAAACGCGACACCCCTGTAGACTTGAGTAAGTGGAGAGCCGCAGCCGAAAAAGGCTGAAGGTTGTCAAGGTGTAGGACTTGTGCCACCACGGACATCATCAACAGTCCGCTAAGCCGAAGCCGAACCAGATCAAGCATGAGACAAAACAGGACCCGAGGACCCTGAAGAGGAATCGTGCTGAGCGGAGCTTCTGGTCCTGTCGCGAGCAATGAAGACTGCATGGGGAGTTTTTCTCAAAGACCCAAACCTGACTTGGGACGCAGCATTGCGCAGAACAGAAGGCGCCTGCAAGTTCGTGATGTGCGCATGTTGAGTCAGATGTTCGTGCCAAGGCTTCTCCGGTACCAACGGCCACGGCCTGATGGAGGCAATCCTCACACAGCCTTCTGAGCCAAAGGTTGTGAAGCCCATGCACTTTGCCCGCAAGGTCCTGAAGCCTTGGAGGGAGTGGATGCAGAAGGTCGTTTATTTCGAGCAATGGGTGAAGTCTCAATACGCCATGAGCTCCCCCCTTGACGGACAAGCCTTCGTCGTCGCAGACAGCGCTTTGGCAGATTCTCTCACTTCAGCCCTCCCAAACAAAGGTGTAGCACTAACGGAGAAGTGTGCTGCAGCTGCCCTGGGCGAGAAGATGAAGAGTGCTGGAGCACCCGCAGCGGTGTTTGCCCGGTGCCTCGATCAAGGCAGGGCCGAGCCTTTGCCAGGCACACACTTGGAGGAGGTGCTGGCGTTCTTGCAAGGGGCCATGGTTTCGGAGACTCCGAAGCTGCTGGTCGTGGTGACCCGCGGCGCCTACGAGGCCGAGCGTGCCAACTTCGATGCGGGTGCCTTGGTTTGGGGCTTGATCCGTTCGGCCAGAATGGAGATGCCTCGTGTGACCATCAAGACCGTGGACGTCGCGGTGGATGCTGGCCCCGCGGACATCGCCAAGGCCGTTGTCGCCGAGTTGCAGGGGCCCGACGGTGACCTTGAGGTGGCATACACGGCCGAGGGGCGCTGTGTTCCCCGCTTGTTGGAGGCTCCACAGAACGAGGCTGTTGCCATGCAGCGACAGGATGCCATGAGGGACGCCGACGCTGCCGCCGATGTCAAGAAGGGCTTCCAGATTGTGACAGGTGGTTTGGGAGGGCTGGGAGCTTCAGCTGCAAACAAGTTTTGTCCTCAAAGGGAGGTGCCCAAAGCAAGAGGGCAAGGCTGGTAAGTGCCGCCTGTCTTTTCATCCTAAGGCTTGGTGGCTGCCGAGGAACTGGCAGCACTTGGAGCGCCAGGCTGGCATTTCCCAGCCACCTAAAATCCCTAAAGCATCCTAAAGCCCCAAACTCTCCTAAAGCCCTGAAGCTCCTGAATCGCATCTTGCAAAAGCTCCCAAGCGCCTGAAGCCTTCAACCCTTGAGCTCTCAAGCCCCTGAACCCTAAACCGTAAGCCCTAGGCCCTAAGCCCTAAGCCCTAAACCCTAAACCCTAAACCCGAAACCCGAAACCCGAAACCAACCTAAACCCTGCTTTGCTTAGAGTCAGGCCTGCTGCTCACTTCGCGCAGCGGCCGTGTGGCCGAGGGCGCCGAGCTCAGCCCCAAAGCCTCGTAAGAACTGCATAAATCCCACAAAAGCCCTAAACCCTAAACCCAAAACCCTGAACCCTAACCCTAAACCCTGAACCCCAAACCCCAAACCCTGAACCCTACTTCCAACCCTCAGCAACCAGAGCAATCCCTCATCTTTCCTTGAAGTGACCGCCTCTTTGAGGTCAGAAGCGCCTGGAAGACCAGCTCCGTCGTCTTGAGGCACTCCCTGGCCTGAGCCTTGCCAGAAGGTGTTCGGTTAAGGGTTAAGGGTTTAGGGTTTCAGGATGTTTCAGGTTTAGGGTTTAGGGTTCAGGGTTTAGGGATTTTGGGAAGGGATTTAGAGTTTATCTTGTTTAGGGTCTGGGGGTATTTTCGGGCATGGGGGCTCTTGGTGAAAAGCACTTGACAGAGCAGTGTTGAGGTGAGGGCATGGGGGTTCATAGTGGTTCGGGTTTCTAGCATGGTTTTTAGAAGTTGCCCTTGCTGGTTTGGGGGACGTCGGGTTTAAGGATGTGAGTTTGGGCTTCCCAAAAGACCCAAGGACCCCCAAAAGATACCAACCCCAAAGCCCGATAGAATCCCCAGGAAAGTTCACCTGAAGATCTGCAACGCCGGGAATCCGGGAGATGTGGCCAAGCTCGTGAAGGAGGCCAAGGATGCCGGCGAGGCCGTTGAAGGCCTGGATCACTGCGGCGAAATGAGGTTAGGATGGTGTCTTCTGGGGTGCTGTTGGGGTGTGTACGTAGGATGGTGTTTTTCCTGGGTGCTGGGGTGTTTGAGGCAAAGTTTGAGGGGTTAAATTGTGTGGGCTGATTGACGCAGCGCTTGCCTTCGCCGCCCTGAATGCGCAGAGCCCGGCAGGTGTGGTGCACGCGGCTGGAGTGATGGATCGCTGTCCCCTGCCAGAGCTGGACACTGCTCACCTCAACAAGGCATTCGGTGGACGTAGGGGCTCAGGGTTTTGGGGGATTTGAGGGGTTAGGGCTCAGATTTCGGGTGCTGGTGAGATCAGCTCTGACACACTTGGGGTCTGCAGGTGCTGGCGCCAAAGGCCAATGGCGCGTGGCATTTGCATAGCGAATGCCCTGACAGCAGCCTCTTCGTGCTCTTCAGTTCAGTCTCCGCAATTGTAGGCTGGTCTGGGGTTTGGGGGTTTGTGCTTCTGTGCTCTTGTAAGGGGTCGTCCAGCTGCGTCGGAGGCCTAGCGGGCTCTGCATCCTACTCCTCTGCCAACGCGTACCTGGATGCTTTGGCCAGCTGGCGCCGTGGTGCTGGTCGCTCTGGCGTTAGCCTGCAGTGGGGCCCTGTGTCTGAGGTGGGCATCACTGCTGCCGCAGGCAGTGATAATTTGGAAGCCATGGCACTGAAGACGCTTTCACCAGCACAAGTGGGCAGTGCCCTACGCCTCTGTCTCGCAGCTCCCACGCCACGTGCGGAAGTCATGCTGGCCCGAGTGGACTGGCCGGCCTTCATGCGAGAGATTGGCATGGAGATCCCGCAGCTGATGGATCTGCAGTCCAAGGAGGCGACAGCAGGAGCAGGCAAGACCAGCCAAGGTCGGGGGGGCCAGTCCAAACCTCCCGGCGGCTGCCAGCGTAAGTGCATAGAAGCTGTGGCTGATTGTGGCTGCATGCTACACCACCTTAAGGTAGAAGCCCTATAAGCCCTATAAGCCCTATAAGCCCTATAAGCCCTATAAGCCCTATAAGCCCTATAAGCCCTATAAGCCCTATAAGCCCTATAAGCCCTATAAGCCCTATAAGCCCTATAAGCCCTATAAGCCCTACAAGCCCTATAAGCCCTAAACCCTGAGCCCTAAACCCCTCCTTCCGTCAGGAGCTGGAAGCGCCCTGGCGCATCTGCCGATGGAGGAGCGCCGGGGGGAGGTGCTAAAGTCCATCCGTGCTGCGGCCTCGGGTATGGGGCTGGAGACTTGGCGGTGTTTTTGGGGGAGTTTTTCGGGTTGTTTAGGGTTTTGGACATAGTTTAGTTGTTCATCTCTTTAAGGCTTCTTTCGAGAAAGCTTACTTAGCTCTTCAGATGGGCTCAGCCAATTCCTCATGTTGATAGAGCCTCAAACACGATCTAAGGAGATGGACGACAATACCCCTCTCATGGAGGCCCTGCGATCCGACTCATCAAGCGCCCTCATGATCTCTAATGCCTGACCCATAGAGTTTTGGGGCTTAGGCAAGTTTAGGGCCCTCGCTGCATAGGCCGGTATCGACTCGCTGTCTGCGGTGGAGTTCCGGAACAAGGTGGGCATAGCCGATCTCGCGACCTAAACCTAGATTGCCTTCGGGAAGCGCGCGCTCGTTTGCATTCGAGACATGGGCCCGGCCGACTGAGACATGTCCTGTGTTTGGCAGGTCTCCAATGAATTCCGCTCGGTCCGCTTGCCAAGCACCCTGATGTTCGACTACCCCACCCTCACAGCGCTCGCCGAGTATGTGTCGCAACAACTCGTGCCGGACGCGATGGCCACGGAGTTGCCGACCAAGGCGCTGGCCCGTCCTGGGGCTTCCGCCTCCAACGAGGCCATCGCAGTTCTCGGAGGCGCATGCCACCTCCCAGGTGACAGCTGGTCCTTGGAGAAGTTTGACTTCATGCTCTCCCAGGGAGTGGACTGCAGCGTGGAGATGCCCCACAGCAGGTGGGACGTGGATGATTACTACGACCCGGATGCAACCACAGGCCTCAAGATGTACGTGAGGCATGCGGCATTCATTGAAGGAGTCGAGCTCTTCGCAGCTGCCGTCCGGTGCTCGGGTGCGAGTAGGAACGTGAGCAGGCGCAGTGGTGCGATATTGTGCAAAGCCAACACACCTAGAGTAATTGACGGATGCTGAAGGTATCCACAGTATGTGTCCCACATGTTCCCTGACGATCCTTGACTGAGGCATTCAACATCAACAAGGCCGAAGCAGAGACCATGGACCCGCAGCAACGGCACCTTCTCGAGGCCGCCTTTGAGGCGTTCACGGGAGCTGGGCTTGGCAAGAGCGCCCTCATGGGCAGCTACGGTGGTGTCTTCGTTGGCCAGGACAAGTGTGATTGGAACCGCATGATTACGGGTGCACAGAGCGGCCCATATGCTGCCACCGGTGGCTCCTCGTCCATCAGCGCCAATCGCATCAGCTACGTACTGGGACTGAAGGGCCCAAGCGCAACAATGGATACTGCGTGCTCTTCCTCGCTGGTTGCGGCGGACACAGCAGCAGTCACCCTTCGTCGCCGAAGATGTGATTTGGCAGTGGTGTGCGGTGTGAATATGACACTGCTCCCACAAACCTTCGTTGCGTGCTGCCAGGCGCAGATGCTCTCAAAGAGCGGAAGGTGCCGCACCTTTGACGACTCCGCGAGCGGATATGCTCGGGGTGAAGGCGTGGGTGCCCAGGCAATGGAGCGACTGGGAAGCCAGGTTAGCGCTGGCGATGCAACACTGCTGGCAGAGCTTCGTGGCTCAGCCCTGAACCAAGATGGGCGAAGCTCCAATTTGACCTCGCCCAATGGCCCTTCCCAACAAGCTGTGGTGCTGGCTGCGCTGACGGAGGCGCAGGTGCAGCCAGGTCGCCACGCGTGTGTGGAGACCCATGGCACGGGCACCGCCTTGGGAGATCCCATCGAGGTTGGAGCCCTTCAGGCTGTTCTTGGTGGATCGAGGGTTCAACCCGTGCAGCTCGGTGCGGCGAAGACAAATGTTGGCCACTTGGAAGGTGGCGCAGGGATGGTCGGGCTGACCAAACTCGCATCGATTCTCTCCCGCAACTGCTTGCCCGCCAACCTGCACATACGAGACTTGAACTCTCACATTTTCGATGACATCGAGGACTTTGCGGTGAACTTTGTTTCGGAATCTTGTGGCTTGACTCAGAAGCCGGAGAGATCAAGAAGGGGTAACCTCCTAAAGCACGAGTGAGTGGTGGGTGAATGTTTGAGTGAGTGGAGAAGAGAGACAGGGGTGGTCGGGTGGGGGTGTCACTCTTCCTGCAAAGCCTCATGGAGAAGAGACATGAGAAGCACGCACTGCTAGTGCGTATCGTGAAACATGATAATTCCGACACCGCTCTTCACATGTCGAGGCCCCAGCCAGACAATGGCAGCTGCGTCTGTGTCCTCCTTCGGATTTGGGGGAACCAATGGTCACGTGCTGCTGGCTCGGCCGGCCACGTCCAAAGCAGGCGCGGTGTCTAGATTTCCTCGCACGTCAAGGAACATAATATGCATATACATACATATGTATATATTACTATACTCTACAGTACTCTTCTGTACTGGTACTATAATTACTATATGGAGTTGTTCGTAGTGGAGTCGAGGACGACCAATAGCTTGAAGGAGCTCAGCGCGCATCAATCTGAATGTTCTGTCTGGACTGTTCCGATCCGACGGCCGAGGAGCACCCCGCAGGTCTGCGCAGCGTGCTGTGACAGAGCCAGAGAAGACCGCCTTCCTCTTTACAGGCGGGCGGTTGAGAAGCATTCGGGTCTTTGGGGGACATGGCATGGAAGATCTTCCCAGGACAGGGCTCACAGTACGTGGGCATGGGCAAGCAGCTCTACGACTCCGAGCCCGTCTTTAGGGAAGCCGTGGATCACTGCGCGAAGATCTTGGATAGCTTGCTGCCAACGCCGCTTCTTGAGGCCAGGAGCAGAGTAGGGTGGCTAGATGTGGCAAGCGCAGAGTGGAAATGGGAATTCCTTTGCTTGTATGGTTGCCGGTTTAGGATGATAATGCCCCGTGAGGTTATGTACGCGGACAGCGACCAGGGCCTTCTCAACCAGTGTCTTGGACTCCGAGTTGTATCGGCATGCTTCGAAGCTCTAAAGCTGCTTACGACGAGCGATTGCAGGGCGCCTAGGAGCTGAGTTTAGGGTTTAGGGTTTAGGGTTTAGGGTTTAGGGTTTACGGTTTAGGGTTGCTCTGCATGGACCTCAAAGAAGAGCCGGCCGGGTCTGAGGACGCAGTTCTCTCAGCCGGCCATCTTTACCATAGAGTATGCGCTGGCGCAGCTGTGGCGATCGCGTGGCCTGGAGCCTTGTGCAGCCACTAGGCAACATCAAAGGTTCAGGGTTTCTTTAGAGTTCAGGGTGGATGTTCTTAGGCACCTGTGTTGATTGACGGGCGTTGCAAGGTCCTTGGCCACAGTGTGGGCGAGTATGCGGCTGCCGTGGTGGCTGGTGTTCCCTTTCTGCAGTCGAGGGTGCTCCAGTAGTCCAGAATAAATATGCCAAAAAACCTGCAACCACAAGCCTTGCGCCGAGGTGCTTCCGTTGGAGGATGGCTTGCGCCTGATTGCCGCCCGCGGGCGGCTGATCGCTGAAAAGTGCGAGGCCAACGTCGGCACCATGTCGGCGCTCTTTGCCCCGGAGCAGGCCCAGGGGGGGTTTAGGGTACGGGGGGACAACCAAGGAAGGAAATCAACTCCCCTAATCGCCCTGAACTTATATTTCCCAGATCGAACCAAGAAACAACCAAGAACACGGATAAGAGCAACCCAGGGGGGAAGGAAAGGGGGAAGGAATCCACACCCTTACCAAACCCTAAGAACCCAGGCACTACTTTTTGAACTTGTGGCTTTCTGTTCAAGCCCATCTTGAGCCAAATACGATTACCGGGTTCATTAACCCTTCCAACTTCCAACACTAACTCCTTTCTACAATACCAATTGCAGCTCCGCACTCCCCCTGTCCTAGGATTTCCTAGGACACATTGGAGATGCAGATCTTTTGGCCAAAAACTGCCATTACGGCAGCAGCCAGCTGCTTGAAATGCAAATTGTGGTTTAACGTCTTCCAGGACGGAATTATAGCACATTGGCTAACCTACTACCCATAGAGAATCTTTTTTCACCTTGATCCTCTCATCACTGAAGACTCCTTGGCCTTCTTCACCACAAACCGTGGTCTTCGCTACGCGAAAAACTACTGACTCCTACTATCAGGGATTTCCATACCCTTAATAGTAACCACCACATTGTCAGCACATTGGCTGTTCCAGCGCACCGGTCTCCAGAAAGAGAAAAACCATCCCTTCATCCATACCATCCAATCACTTCTTTTTCCGATTGTTGGCAATCTTGAGGTGAAGTTGCAGCAGAATATACTCCAGGTCCGAAATCGTAAGAATAGGATCCTGTATGCCCCTTTGAATTGAGGATACCAATCCTTCTCTCTTTGCGTCCTCAATCGCCTGGCAAGATTGACCCAGCTCTTCATTCGCATTGGCAGACCCTGGTGCCTCCGCATCGGATGGACGATCCTTTTCCTCAGGATCTTGCACCATTACCACCTCTTCTTTTTTGGGACTCTGACTTTTCTCCTTCTTCTTTGTCTTTCCACCGACATTTGACTTTGTGCGCGTCTTCGAGGATTTTTCCACTGCAGAAGCCACCACATTGGATGTTGATCCACCCTTCTCAATGATCGCCGGCATCTTCTTCGGCTTTGGAACCATGAGAGTGTAAGGATCTTCGATAGCTGCAGCTTTCCTCTTCTTTTTTACCTTTTTCTTCTCCTCCTCAACGGCAACCTCCGTCTCCGAAGTCTCAACCACTTCTTTTTCGGCAGGAATATCTTTGCTGGACTCCCCTTCTAGGGACCTCTTTTTCCCTTTTTTGGGATCCTTTTCTTCTCCCAAATTGGCTCGCTCATACCATATCCTCAGGTCATTGACCCATTCTTCCACCTCCGCGAGCGAAACATCATACGACTTCACTACTTCGAGAAGTTCCAGCACTGACAACATTTCAGTGGACCACGAAACCCATACTTGATCCATTTGGTCAGCATCTCCAGTGAACTTCAGGAGTTTGAACAATGGGTCCGCCTCTGCTCGAGCCAAATCTGGCTTGCCACCGGAGAGAAATGAAATCGCCTCCATCAACAGTTCCGTCATCTTGGTTTCTTCGTCATAAACCATAAAATCCTCCTCATCATCATCGAACTGTTCAGGAGGGATCTCCTTTTCTCCACCATTTGCACCAGACTTTCTCCTTGGACCATCCCTTGGGGGCGTCCTTGGAGACCTTGGCCTCTGTTTTTCCAACGGAACACCATGCTCGAAGACACACCTGTCACCAAATCGACACTTCCCAGACCGAGCAAACTGGACGCACCTCACACCAGTTGCATCATGCGAGAACCCACAATCCTTTCCAGCGAAACATTCTCTCCCTGCCACATAGTATTTGCACCAATATGAATGTAGCACCACATCATCTTCGGAATGGATGAATTTGCAGTCGTCACCAAATTTGCAGCGATCTTTCCCTTTGCCAAACCAATAGCAGAAACCCTTCTTCCTCTTCTCCAAGCGCTCTGCCTCATACCGGTCCATAGGGCGACTGTGCTCTACATGAACATTGCCATGTACCTGGGGACTGCTCCCTTCACCCGACGTGCTATCAGTATTTGGTGCTTGGAGTACAGCTGGAAAACCTGGCCTTGGTCCTACCACCTTCATGATCGGTTTTCCGCCAACTCCTGAGCCATGCTGAGACGATCCAAAAACATTGAACATCTTCATGAAGGCCTTCCTAGCGCCAATCTTCTGCACCCTTTTGATTGGACGTTTCATTGCTCCAACCTTGCATCCAGATGCATTCAAACGACGCAACCTTCTAAACCCAACTCTATGTCCCTTCTTCCAAAGAGCCATAAGAATTTTAGAGGCAGTGACATTCTCCACCTCTACCTTTTCCAATGATCCCTCACTTCCCGGAACAAACCCATCCATCTCTGAAGACCTTTCCATCTTTTTTGACACCACTTCGTCGAGGTAGTCTTCTGAAATCCAGGGAAAGTTCCCCTTAGAGGAAGGATTGTCATCATTGTTTGGTCCTTCACCAGGATATCCTTTGGTGCTGTCAAAGATCTTGTAGTGCGGTCCTGCATAGAGAAATTCGAAGCCACGCGGGAGTACACTGACCACAAGAAAATCCTTGTGTCCGCCAGTCTGGATGACCCACTGGATTTCTCCTCTTCCGGAGAAACTTCTGGCGCTTTGCCCTTCCCTCCAGTGTCACCGCTTGTCTCACCTCATCTTCAACGGGAATAAGGGATTCATTGTTCCCTTGATCAAGCACCGCATCCTCTAGTCCAAGAACTTCCAGCATCGCTGTCGAAGGATCCACCTCCTCATCCGCATCGTCGTCCATCCTTCTCCAGAGAGCCTCCAATTGGTCCGCACAAGTCGCCGCTTGAAGAAACTCCATCAACCGAGCCCTCCCGCGCTGCCAGAGAAATTCTGAAACCATCACCGACCCTTGTGCTCCCAGATTCAGGAATGGGTGAACCATTTTGGCTACCCTCGCCATAAGTTCAATATGAACTTCCATGCCTGGACTGCGGCTCCAATCATAGGCAATTGCCTCCATAGCAGTACCAAACTTGTCCGTATTCTTGAATTCCCCTTCCAGACCAGGAGACAACAAGGTACCCATCACCGAAAGAGGGTAATTCCCCACCGCCGGCAAGCACGGGTTGTCATGGAACGAATGATGCAGGTCAGTATAATGTCCTTGATCTCTCCTTTGAAAAAGGAGTGTTCCAGTCCCTAGCTGGGCATTCATTTCATCCACTTGAACCATTTCAGCACATATCCTCTGTGCCAGGTGCGCCATTGCTGGCCAGACGGTACGATCGGTCAGACCGCGACGCATAACCCAATCAGTTGTTGGCGACTGGATCAGCGTTCCTGGATCATACACCATAACCATTGCACCGTCTCCCATTGACTGATCAGCATCGTCCTCCAGTGCCAGGTTCTCATCCTGTTCGCTTGCACCCTCGGATGACATGCTAATAACCAAATTTCGATCCATCTTATTGGACCCTTTTTGGCAATCTCTTTGCCCCATTGGCAACTTGCCAACTGCAACCTTCCAATAAATTCGAGTCAGAAGGCCTTTCACCAGCAATTGCTGAAGGTCACTCCTCACCGGACCACCATCCAACATCTTCGCATCATTACCACGGAGATCATTGCTCCCGCCTTCTCCTTCTTTTTGGTCGGTCTCCTCGCCAGAAATCTGTACTGCTCCTTCCGGCGCCGTCTCCTGTCCAGCCACTTCATGCCCAGGAAGAACTTGAGCGCTTTCAGAGACATTCACCTGTCCAGCAGCACCTTGCCCAGGTAAAACCTCATCCGTGGAGCCCACCGCCAGCGAACCAACCATAACTGAACCATCCCTTGTTCTTTTTTGAGACCGTTCAGCTCGACGAGAAGGTTGTGGTAGCGAAAAAACTTGAGAAGTCACTTCTTGGCGGGTCTCCCCCCGCGACGCTTTGTCGCGCCCTTCGCCAAGGTGAACCGATTTTTTCGGCCCAGCATTGGAGCCTGAAGAACCACTTTGTGGAACATTGCCACGACTCGCAGTTCTCCGACTCCACGAATCCCTTTCTTGCAAAAAGATTTCCTTCAGGCGTTGTACCGCATTGGTCTCCTCCTCGCTTGAATCGCTTGAGGAAGCGGCATACGAGACCAAAGCCTCCGCCTGGTCATCATCATCCACCACATCTGCCCACGCTCTGCTGAATGGATACGACAAACCACCACGAGGTTTCACCGGCTCCAGTGGTTTCGGTTTTTCCACCACTTCCGCCAGTTGCACTCGTCGTTGTGACCGAGATCGTGGCACCTGTCGCACCTGTTTTTTGTCCAGCAAGGGCCTTCCCCTTCTTACAGGGTTTGATCTTGACCGATACTTTTTCGTTGGTGGATTCACCGGCGGCATTCCAACTCCCACCAACCGCAGCTTCTGTACGCGCAACGGAGACCTCTGCGCAAGCGTCCAACCATCACGGTACCTGACCTTATCAAAAAGCTCCCGATAGGAACCTCTCGGCATAGTTTTTGCACCGGAGTCTTCAGCTTCACGCACCTGAGTGAGGGTTCGCACCGCCGCTCTTCCAGTCCCTTTGTTCCCAGAAGATTGTTGTACCCGTACAGATGCATCAGAAGGAACTGCCTTTTCCGGTCCTCCCGGTCGATATCGGACCTCACCCACCAATTGCAGAATTTTGCATGCGGTCACTTTGTTGATCCCTTTGTCAACCAAATCTTCCACAAAGATGAACTCTTGCAAGTCCGACACATTGGTCACACCAAGCGTAATCATCACCTCACTTACATGAGGGGTATACACCCACAGGTGTGCGTTGCGAGCCATCCAATTTTCAATTGGCTCCTCCGGATTTTGAAGCTGAGTACCAGTGGATGCAGCCACCGAATTCTTTTGTTCATCAGCTTCTGCTTCATCCAGAGTACCTTTTTCACCATCTTTTTGTGACACATTGGTCATTTGCAGTGCTTTTGGTGCCGAGGATGAGGAAGATTCAGCTCCCCCACTTGCAGGTGGCTGAAACGTGCTTCTATCCGTAATCTCCCATCCTCTCTCTTTTTCAAACCGGGCCTGATTGGCCACCTGTACCAAGTGTTTCAGGAGCGACAGCCGCTCCTCTGACATCTCGTCATGGGAGTACTTGCAGAAATTTAACCCTTTCCGGCAACGTCCTCGGAGGTAATAATCGAAACAGCAATTGTGGAACCCTGCGTCCCTTAGTGACTTCCTGGAAGCATTGTCCCAAGATTTGCCGGGCTCCCAAGTCCCTTCCAATGCTATGTCATCGTTGTGAAGGTACCTGCATGCAGTCCCATATTTACAACCACCTTGATTGTAATACAGACACAGCCGACCTTTTGGCTCACCCGACGTAGGCTCACCCTTTGATGCACCTTTGCCAAAATTGTACTTGGCCCGGAAGGCTAAATCCTCCCGCTCCTGCTGTGCCTCATCCACTGTACCTTCCTCTGTGGGAGGGTCACCGATGTTCCCGTCCTCATCATCAGCTTCTTGGCTATTCTTTGGATCAGTTGACCCCCCTTCTGGCCAACCTTCACCGTACCGACGATGCTCATAGGGACACCCATCGCCATTGCGACACCTTCCCTTATTGAAGAACCTGCACAGCTTGCTGTAACCAGGTGACAACACCGTCTTTGGTGTCATGTAAGCCTTTTTGTACTGGTCAGGATCCATGTAGGCTTCCATTGGCTTGTTCTCCCTTTTGCTCATGGATTGCACTGCACCATCAAGCTCCTGCAAAAATAGCTTGGTGTCCAACCAAAGCACGTTCCAAAACTCATCTTCCCCTTGATTCAGCACCGTTGCCACCGCTTCACCCACAACTGGTCGAGAAAATCTCCTTTTTCTGCATGCCAGTTCGAAAAGCGCGTTGTGGTACTGTTTTCGGGAAAAAGTGGTTAACTTCCCCAAGCCTGTGCTTTCTGTACCATCAGGCTTCCAACCATCATCTTGCAAGATGCCATACGCGCGCCGAGCTTCCGCATTGAGGAATGCCTGATCCGCAACACACTCCTGTAAATCTTCCATCGGCCGACCTAACAGCATCCCAGTAATTTTGCCAACATAGGCTTCCTCTTCATTTCCATTCTCCAGAAGAGCTTTGTAGATCTTTTCTCCATAAAGTTGCCTTTCTTCTCGTTCTTCAGAAGACAACTCCTGTACCACAAGCTCTTCATCGGATTGCTCTTCCTCCTGTTTCCAGTCCCATTGACCGTTGGAATCTTGGTACCATTGACCAGCATACCATGAATCCGTCCACCACGTACTCCAGCCGCTGGGTTTCCACTTCCGCAGCGTCGAAGAAGAGTCCTCCACGTCCTCTTCCAAAACCAGAAAGGTGTCCAAGATTATGGTACCATCATCTTCCACTCGTTTCACTGTTCCATTGACAGTATCACCAAACTTGAACTGATATGCATTGTTCCCTTCTGCAGGAATCAATACATTCATATCCCCATGGTCCAAAAAGGCTCCATACCCATTGATGCAGCGCACCAGACCCATGATCTCATCTCCCTCTTGATAGCAATGTGGCCCAGGTGACTCCAAGGCTCCCGCTCGGGGCACTTTCTTTACACGCTCTTCAGAAACCATCTCTGTATCATCGGCTCCTGGCGCATCCTTTGTCTTCACCTTTGGGTCACACTGCTCGTCCTGCTCCACGAGTCCCACAAGCTCATCTTTTTTGTGCTCCTGGATTTCAGGACCTCCCTTTTTCTCCGCCAACGGCTTTGCCTCATCTGCTGTAGTTCGCTCGGTGTCGACTTCCGGTGAACTTCCAGACGGCAACGCTTCTCCCTTCATGGGAGTGGACCCATCATTGGAGTCCTTTGTCTCACCTTCTGCAGCAGGCAAATCTTCTTCCACTGCAGGGCAATTGAGTCGATCATCCACGGCAGGCACGCTTTCTTCCACCGCAGGCTCCTTTGGTTCCATGGCCTCCAAAGGAGAATTTCCACCATCATTGACCACAGCTGCCTCATTGGCTCCGGTGTAGCCCTTGTCATTTCGTTCCTCGCTGCTAACTTCAGGTTGCACCAGTGCGTCCACCTGTGAACCTCCATCATCAGCTGCTGCGGAGACCTGCGCCCCATTGTTGCAGTCGCCCGTGGAACGTACCACCACATGCACCTCAACCCGTGCTTCCTTCGCACTCCAGGTAATATCTGGCGCATCAACCCGCGCATCATTGGCGCTCCAGGCCTCATTTTTCAGATCATCCGTGTCTCCAGCTATTCCAGAAGCTTCTTTTTCCCCTTGAATGGCAGAATTCTTGGCACCAAACGAAGAGACCTCCTCAGTCGTAACACACAACTTTTTCTCTCCATCCTCCGAATCTCCAGGACCACCTTCCTGAACAACAGGTACCACATCCACCACTCGCTCTTCTGCAGCCGACACAGTTCCGATCACCTCATTGGGCATTTTCTCTTCTGGATCCACCAATTCCATCGCTGCCCCACCCTCAGAAAGCGCTTCTGTTTCTTCCCGATCCAGGTGTTGAGCTCCAGCGATGTTGGCTTGGTTCCCAGGAATCCCTTCCTCATCAGGAGAACCCGGGGTCGGGGCGTCACCATCAGCCCTAGGACCGCTATCCCTGATAGTAGAGGAAAAATCTTTTTCACCTAAACTATTTACACTACCCTGGAATGCCCTCGTAGACTCAGTCTTCGGAGTAGAGGATGAAGAATCCAGTGCCGCCTCCATTTCCAGCTCATTGCCCAAAGGAGACCCAACCACCTCGTCACTCTTCACCTTTTCACCTACCACCGGCAATGTCCACTTGGTTTCGTGCGTATCCAGGCAGTAATAATATTGTCTCCCATCTTCATGGAGGTGCAATTCCCACATTGTGCCATCACACGCTTGGATCAGATGCTCGTCTTTCCGAAAACCGTCCCTTTCAGAAACCTGTCGCATCTCGTCCTCTTCTTCTGACAGCTGTCGCAACCGTTCAGCCTCCATCTGTAGGATCTCCTCCTCCCCCATGGCGTATTCAGCAGCAGGTGCAGCTTCAAAGCCGTCCGCACCCTTCTGTTTGTGACCGCTTCCACCACCTTGGGAACTCGAAGATGGACCCTTTTTGATCTTGTTCAACGGCCTCCTGGTCGCTTGTAGCACTTCTCCAATCAGATCGGTCTGAGACTCTTGGTCTACCATTCGACCCGAAGTCGAAGACGACGGCTGGTACCCGTGTTTGCGCAACACTCGTAAAACAGTCACCTCCATTTCACGATCTATGCCACCAGTCGCATCCCAGTTCCTTTTTTCACCAGGCTTTGGCGGTACAGAAACAGCACGTCCTTCAGCTTCAGCATTGCTAACCATATCCCTATTGGGATTCATACCCACATTGGGGCTTTCTGCAACCAGGCCTCTTCCAGATGTTCTTCAGCGTCGGGAATCACCTCTTCCAACACCGCTCTTTCACCCAGAGACTCAGCTGCACCATTTCCAGCTCCACCATCTTGTCCACCATCCGAGGCAAGTTGGAGCCATCGCTTCGGAGAAGGCATTGCTTCTTGATCCCAAAACCTTGAAAGAACACTTAACCGCAGGGAACCTAATTTGGGCTCATAACCTACGGGGGGACAACCAAGGAAGGAAATCAACTCCCCTAATCGCCCTGAACTTATATTTCCCAGATCGAACCAAGAAACAACCAAGAACACGGATAAGAGCAACCCAGGGGGGAAGGAAAGGGGGAAGGAATCCACACCCTTACCAAACCCTAAGAACCCAGGCACTACTTTTTGAACTTGTGGCTTTCTGTTCAAGCCCATCTTGAGCCAAATACGATTACCGGGTTCATTAACCCTTCCAACTTCCAACACTAACTCCTTTCTACAATACCAATTGCAGCTCCGCATAGGGTTTAGGGTTTAGGGTTTAGGGTTTAGGGTGGGCTGAACACTTTTGCACGAAACTCTGAACTCTAAGCAACAAAGCCCCGGAATCAAAAGCCTTAAGCCCTAACTTAACTCTAAACACCAAACCAGAAACCCCCCTCAACTCCTAACCCTAAAGCTTCCACACAATGGCCCACCTGGGAAGACCTATATCCCATGCTGGATCCCGCTCACGGGGGACCCAATTGGGGGTCTCCAAGGGCCTACCTGGAGAGGAGCCTTCCGGGACAATGGGATCCAAAGCCTTCGACCAGGGCCTTCAAACATGAGCACGATCACAGAGCAAGGAGTTGGAAACCCGCAAAGGTCAAGACGAGGGTGAAGCGCCAGCAGGGGTGGGAATACACAAATCAGGGCGGCGCGCCGGGGGTGCCTTTTTCCACCAGCGCACCCCTGAATGAAGCACCCAAAACGCTGGACCCGAAACCCTAAACCGCATGACATGATTTCCACGCCAACACGCTGGCTCAGGCTGTCAAGCAAGCCATGGAGAAGTCCAAAGTCAGCACGCAGGACGTGGCGATTGCCGCGGTGAACGGCCCCAAGATGACTGTCATCAGTGGCCGGAAAGAAGCTGTGGAGAAGGCGCTCCCGAAAACAGCGAAGGCTTAGGGCCTCATTGAGGGTGTAGGATTCAGGCGGTCCAAAATTCATTACTAACTCCGAAACCCCAAAAGTAAAGACCTTAAACTATCGGGGATGTAGGGATATTGAGGGTCTTCATTTCACGTGAGCAGGTTGCGGAGACGGCGGGCGCCACAAGTCGGCCTTTGACAGTCTCCCACGCCTTCCACTCGCCGCTCATGTCGCCAATGCTTGAGGACTTCCGCCAGGAGGTATCCAAGGTGCGGCAGAGTCCGTAATTAGGTTGGTAATTCGGCATGATTGAGTTTAATCTGGGAGGGCTGGATGGCGAGAGCATGTCAGAGCTCTTCTGAACCTCAAGCTTCTGCTTGACAGGCGCCCCTTGGCGGCCAGCTGAAGATCCCATTCTTCTCGACTTTGTTGGGCAAGGAAGTGAGCGCGGACGATCTTGCCAAGGCGCTTGTTCAACCGACGGCTATTGACGCACCCAACATGATAGCGTGCTATGTCAGGCAGATTACTGGGTGGATCATGTCAAGTGCGCCTGGGAGATGTCCACGGAAGCCTCAACACCTAATCCCAAATCCCGAGCCCCAAGCAGCTGCCAGGTACGCCGTTCGCTTCACGGCCGGTGTGGAGGCGCTGGAGGCTGCAACGGCCCCAGCGGTCTACCTCGAGATAGGCGGGGTGGCCCTGGCTGCCATGACTGCAAAGGTTTTGGACCCATTTCCTGAGTATCTAACACTTCACTTCAAGTCTCCTCTCCATCTAATGGTCGTGAAGATGCTTTCTTCTCAAGGCGACCGCTTCCCTGCTTCGAAGCGGAACTTACACACAGTCATGAAACTTACATTGTTGGGTCAGTGATCTACCATGTTCTTCCAGTGCCCAACAGGCTCCACGCCGACTTTGATTGGCATGGCAAAGCGATTCTTGACAAGGCCGCTTCTGGGTTTAGTGCTGCTGCCTCACGTGGGTTGTGCACTATGCAGATGCCTCTAAGGAAAGAAGCTCGCTTTGTTGCAAGCTTAGATGCCAAAGCCTCACCAGACGAGCGCGATGCGGTCAAGAAGGCCGATCCAGTCGCACATCTCATAAAAACACTACCGGCATGTCTTACTCGTTGAATTGGGTCATCTCCCCCCCCCCCCCCCTCTTAGCCCCCCCCGTTAGCATCCTTCAAGGGGCTTATGCAGGAACCCTGTCCTCCACAGGCTGCAGAAGCCATGAATCTCTCGGCGGCACCGGCAAAGAGCTCTGCAGCCGCCTTGGAGCGTCAGGCGCACGGGCTGATCAACTGTGTGCGCTTTTTTGGAACATGGGGGGGGGGGAACACCAAGTTAGAGGAAGATATGTGCGTATTGCTGCAGGCATAGGCCAGTTTTAGGCGAGGTTGCACGTGAAGCAGGGTTTATAGCACTGTTATTGGCGAGTGTATATAAGGTTCCTTTTTTAATATTTGCAAGGAGTATAAACCCTACTTCGCAGAAGCCCATGCAGGCCTTCCCTTGGCGGGAAGCCAGCCATCCGTTGCTGAAGCGACGAACCACGCGGGCAGATGGGGCCACCGTCTTCAGCTGCTCCTTCGGTGGGCATGTCCTCGCCCTCCTCTCGCACCACATCGTTCATGGCGAGGCGCCGACCTCTTGGGCGTTCCGAATCTTCGGGGTTGTCACTTTTTTTTGAATGCAGGAGTGATAGCGAGAGGGTGCGGCTTCCTCTGAAAAATGGCCGTGGTCCCTTGCCAAGATCAGGTGGTGGTTCCCGGTGCATGCTATTTGGAGATGATTGTTGCTGGGTGCACGACCTTCGTGGGTGGCGGTCTCAGATCTCCATGCCATTGCTCAGTGATCTCACCTGTGTGGGCTGCTTGCTCAGACTCATGGCGGTTGTAAGTTGGTAGCACCTTCACAATGCCGAATTTTGCCTGCTGGGCAAATGGCCTAAGACTGACTAGGCGGTGCAGAGCACAAGCACTGCTCTGTCGGCAAGTAAAACTGCAAGCCTAGTGCCAAAAAACTCCCCAGTGGCAGAAAAGGCGAAAAGTATGGCCAATGGCGAGCATGTAGCCATGCAACTCCCGGCGAATAGGCAAGTGTTTCGGTGGCAACCTCTGCTTGTCATAGCGTGAGGCTCACTGGATTCCTTCTTAATCGTTAAGATGCAAGCCTGAGCACGCCATGTGCACGTAACGTCGCTAGACGCAGCCACCCTAATTTCACATCTCCCGGCCTCACCCCTCCACTATGAACCCCACATGCCCTCAAGATCCAAAGACGACTATTTCAGATGAAGCCCTCAACCCACACCTCTAAAAGCCTTCCATTCTCAAGGCAGCGAAGCGTGGTGCGTGGAGAACCTGGGCTTTGCAAAGCCGTTGGTTCTGCGGCTCTTTGGTCTGCAGCAGGAGGGTTTAGGAGGGCGGCTTGAAGATCTTTAGGAGCCCTCAAATCCCTGAGCCCATCTGCGCCCATCTGAGCCCATCCGAGGCTTTTGCCGGACGGCTCTCTGGAAGAGCCCACGGAGCTGCGCCTGGTCGTGCGCCCGGACGGGCGCCTGGAGGTGGAGAGCGAGATCGGCGAAGCTCTCAGAAGCTTAGGGACCCCGACTCGTAGCTCGGTGCCCTGCTTTGCTCTGCTTTGCTCGGCCTTTTGCTAAGGCAGCGACCCGGAGGACAGCATCGTCTCGGTGCATGTTGAGGCCACATTGGTGAGAAAGTCCGGCGGCTGGGTCAAGACGAATAGACCGGAGCAGGACCTGCATCGAAGGGTTCGAAAGTTGCTGGTGGGGTTTATGAGGGCTTCTCAGTCAGGCAAAACTGCCTTTGCAGGTGTTCTTTTTAAGAGACCCAGCCATGGAGAGGGCAAGATTGCAACTTCAAACATGCACTACTGGTGGCCGAAATCAATGGTTCCAGGACAGCTTTGATTTGAGCCAGCTGCGGTCACAGTGCCCCGAGCCTGTGGACATCGACCTCATGTACTCCTTCGGGCGCAAGAGTGGCTTGCCACTACAGCCGCGGTTCCGAACGGTGCGGCACGTGCAGAAGGGCAGCTTGGCGTAGCTTCGGGGGGGTGGAGGGGGCGGGGTGTTGCAGAGTTCAGGACTTCTCGGCGCAGCAACTTTAAGAGAGCAGTAAGACTCAGCGACAGTCAGAGCATCCGAGGAGACAAAGAATCCTTCGCGCGCTTGGAGATGGAGAAGGACGGTACCCATATCGGCTTCTGGCTTGGCCCCTCCCTCATTGATGGGTCCTTCCAAGCATCCATGGCGCTGGCTGACGCGGCCACTGGAATCGGACCCTTGCCTGCGCTTCCAGTGGCCGGAGTGAGGGAGCCTAAGGGCTTGGTCCAGCTTGGGGGGAGAAGTTCAGTGGTTCAGGGATTTGGGCGCTTTGGGGTTTCAGGGTTGTCTAACGGTCTCAGGGCCTCAGGAGCTTTGAGTGTAGGTTCTTTTGGTAGCTGAGCTCAAGCGAGCCGAACCCTAAACCCTAAACGCTAAACCCGAAACCCGAAACCCTAAACCCTAAACCCTAAACCCTGAACCCTAAAACCCGAAATCCAACACCTCAAAACCCTACACCCTGCACCCCAAACCCCCAGGAACTCTGAAGATTCCGCTGTCCATTCGCCGCCTCCAGCCTTGTGGGCGGCCGCAGCTTGGCGAACTGAGCGTTCGGGGGTCCAGGCATGTTAGGGGTTTAGGGTTGAGGGTTTACGTCTAGGGTTTAGGGATGTTTGGGGTTTTGGGATGTTTGGGGTTAAGATTGAGATTTTTTTGGTTTAGGTTGGGATGTTTAGGGTTTAGGGAGGTTGGGTTTTGGGATGTTTCCGGGGGGCTAAGGAAGAAGTTGAGGGTCCGTTAGTTTGATGCGCATCCTCATTTCGTGCTGCAGAATCGCCGTGGTAGTATGAAATGCCGATTTATAGGGCTCATATGGGCTCAGTATGTGGATGCTGATGCCCGCTAGCCCTGCCTTGACGGCCCCAGGTTCTCTATCGGCGTGTGGTCGTACTTCCAGCTCATCGATTTCACAGACAAGTCCACCGTCTTCCGGTCATGGCTCCTGAACGATGCAGGCATAGGGCGTGGGCAATTTTGTCCCAAATCCCAAGCTGTTTTTAAAGCCTTAAACCCTAAAGTTGTGTCTGTGCTCAGGCGAGGCTCTCCTGTACTTCGACCACGTCCACTTACAGGAGGTTCGCAGCATCCTCAGAACCTCTTAAGCTCGGATCCCCCGCCTAAAATTTCTGGATCCCTAGATCCCCCGAAATAGCAACCCGAAAGCCTTAAACCGTCCCTAAGCCCCAAACCCTAAACCTTCCACTTCCTAAGCTTCCTCGAAGCCTTAGGCACCCTGACGAACCCCTGAAGCCCTAAACCCCAAGCCCTAAACCCTAAGCCCTAAACCCTAGGCCCTAAACCCTAAACCCCAAACCACAAAACACAAAAAGCCCGAAGCCCCCCTGAGGTTCTACCCTGAAGCCCCCACATGGGAAGCTCTGGGATGCCGCCTCTGCGAATGCCGAGGTGACGAGCACATCCAGAAGGTCTTGCAGGCTTCTGGTCGCCAAGGCCGGGATCGTGGGAGTTGTTTTTGTTCTTGTTACTATTATTCCGATTCTGACTATTACGATGATGATGATGATGATGATGATGATGATGATGATGATGATGATGATGATGATGGTCAATATCAATATTATCATATATATATATATGTATGTAATTATACGTATATATATATATATATATATATATCTATATATATATATATGTATAATATAATTTGTTCAGGGGTTTGGGGCTTTAGGGAGGCCATCAGAGTTCTCCAGAGCAGAGTGGGGTGGGCGCGCAAGAGAAGCGATTTTTGGGGGATTTCCGTAAATCTGGGGTACCTTACTGGGGTCCCTATTACAAGGAAATCCGACTATTTGGGGGTCCATATTGGTTGTCCCTTATTCTTGTAAAGCCTCATTTTGGGAAAGAAGAAGCCCCAGAGGGCAAGCCTGAACAAAACACCCAAGCCTGCTGGGCTCAGGCATGGAGCAGCAGATGCCGCTTGGCGTTTTGGGTTTAGGGTTGTTTGGAGACGTAGAATTCAGGGACTCGGGTTTAGGGCAAAGGAATGACTCGGCCGAGCACATCCGAGGCTCTACGACGTGAACTGGCGGCCAGTCCAAGCCCAGGCAGACCATGGCCAGTCCTTGCAGGAGATTTGGGGGCTTACGATAATAGGGGACCCCTCATGTAGACCCCAAATACTAGGATCCCCTTAGAGTAAGGACCCCAATAAGGTACCCCTGATATCGTAAATGCCCACTTGAGTGGGGCTGCTGGGAAGCTGTCTTCTTTCATTCTTCTTCCCCTCCAGTTGTTCTTTGACTCGGGTTTGGTCAGCTTCCGTCCCATGACATCTCCAGTTTGCAACGCACGTGCACGTAGGCTGCGGCGCCAACCTCGCGGTGGCTGCTCCTTGGCAGCCCCGCCGCCCTCCAGCAGATGAAGGCCGCCGAGGCAGATCCAAGGTGCCGCTGCGCCAAGCTGGACATGGAGGGCGAGGCCCCCCCCCCGTCTCCAAAACCGGTTTCCATGCGTTCTACTCTGAAAATGTGCTCAAGAATTGCAAAGGCTTGAGAATTTTCATCAGAGATGTCAACATCGTTGTCAGGACTTGCCTGCCCTACTTACTGAAGAGACCTGGACGGCAGTCATACTGGCCGATGGCCTGATGGCCGCCGACGCCAGCACCAGTGCTTGGGCCGCTTCTCCTGCAGACTCAGCCGCGCCAGGCCGGTTTCTCCAAGGGAAGCTTCAGAGAGCTTGTGGGTTTGCGCTCGTTTTTTCTTGGTTTGGGGGGTTCAATCCAGGTTTTAGGCTTCATCATCGTTAAAGGCCAGCCGCAGACCGTGCGGCGTGCAGAATGGATCTGCCGGGCTTGCTTCTGACGTGACATGGTAGTGTCATCCGGGCACCTGAGCCCTCAGAGCCTCCACCCCTCGTCGTATGCGCAGGAGGTGAGCACAGCGACGTCGCGGTATTGGAGCGAGCTATGGTTCTTACCAAGGCATCCGCTGGCCTTGCGTGTTCATGCGTATGCTGCTTCCACGTCCCGGTTTGCGAATCGGAGGCAGCGGCGAAGTTGGGCAGCAAGTCTCCGGTGGTGGTCTTGCCCACCTGGGGAGCACAGCCCCTGGCTGCAGAGCAGAGCGAGAAGCGGCGGCAAGGCTACAGCTGTGTTCGGAGTGAAGCGTTTCGATCGATCGGTGTGACACCTTGCTTTGAGTGAAGGTGCACCCGATCACAGTGGGCTCTGGGGTTTTGCGCGAGCCGTGCGAATGGAGTATCCAGGCCAGAGTATCGAGGGTTGCCGGAAAGTTGTTGACTGCTGGAGCGCTTTTGTCCAAATCGTGCCGTTCTGCAGGTGCCCTTCGGATCACATGCGTGGACCTGGACGCAGGCAAACAATCCGATGCTTGGACACAGCTTTCCACGGATCTCTTGCCGGCCTTGCCGGCCGACGAAGAAGAGGTTGCCATCCGAGATGCAGAGATGAGTGCCGCCAAGCTTGCCCGATCTGCCGTGAAATATACAGGGGCAGTACGGCTGAACATGCCCGCCCGGGGATCCCTCACGGGCCTCAGAGTGGTTCCCCAAGCCGATACGTCGGTGCGGATGGCAGCGGCGCCAGGGATGGCACAACTGCGCATCCGAGCCGTCGGACTGAACTTCCGCGATGTGCTTAACGTGAGGGCCTCGGAGCTCTAGGATTATCCTCTCACTGCGAAGCTTGAGTCCGGTCATGTGGGGGACCTGCATGCGTTAAGGTCATGGGGCTCTACCCTGGCGACCCGGGCCCACCGGGTGCGGACTGCGGTGGCACGGTCATCGGCCTTGGGGACAACGTCCAGCACCTGCGGCTGGCAGAGGACGTCTTTGGTGAGTCGCCAGGGTGCCTGAGCACGTACAACACCAGTTCAGCAGCCCTGCTCTCCCCCAAGCCAACATCCTGGACCTACGAGGAGGCAAGGTCGGATGCGCGTGCAAGAATTCTTCTGCAACGTGTTAAGTTGTTTGCCATTGCTTGCCCTCTCCCACCCCACAAGCAAAGCGACAGGCCTGCTGCATGCCGGTGATCTTCGTGACAGTGGAGGAGGCCCTGGGCGACCTGGCCAAGCTGAAGCGGGGTGAGCGAGTTCTCATCCATGCTGCTGCCGGTGGTGTGGGCCTGGTGGCCATCCAGCGCCTTGTCTGATCTTTTTTCGAAGGCTGTCATTGGTGCTCGGGCTGCTCGGGGCTTCTAGGGTATCGTGTATGGTATATATAAAGATACAGATTTATAATATGCTCATGCGTGATCCGCAAGATCAGAAATCGCCGCCCTCGAAGGTACGCTGCTTTCGTTGGCGCAGAGGTCTACGCCACTGCTGGGGCAGATGAAAAGCATGAGTTTTTGAGGGGGCTGGGTGCAGCTTGATTCAATTTGATATAATTCAATGCCATGGCAGTTTCAAACGCTTGCCTATGACCTTTCCTGGCTGCTTCCTTTGCGTGCTCTGGAGATGCCGAGGTGAAATACATCACCAGCAGCCGAAACGGCAAGAAGTTTGAAGATGACATGAAGCAGTTCCTCAAGGCGCATAGGGCATAGGGCTGTGTCAGCGAGAGTCTGAGAGGCGCAGAGGCAGAATGACCTGCAGATCCATGGCTGTGCCAGGAGCAGGGAGTTGACGGAATCGACGTGGTGCTCAATAGTCTCAGCACCTCGCCCTTGACATGGGCTCTGTGAACGTACGGGCATGTCTTATCGCGAGTGTCGCGCTTCAGCTTGTGGTCAGAGCCCAGAGGCAGTCAGCATATTGGCCATGTGAGGCCATGACGACTACATCCCGCGGTCTTTGGCATTGCTTCGCAAGGGTGGCCGGTTCCTCGAGATCGGCAAGCGAGGGATCTGGTCGCACGAGCAGCCTCTCGTATGCCATGTTAGCCTATGACCCCAGTCATCCGCAGTCTCTAATGACACATAAATCATCTGTAGCTGCAGCATTGCATCGCAGCATGCGCAAAGCTCAGGATGTTCCAAGCCCGTGACTTCGCTGAAGAGTGATGCCGAAGAGGAAAACTCACCCCTGTTCGCTTCAGACATATTCCGAACCGATCGGCGAGTGAACCCAGGTCCTGATGTCATGTATGAGAAGATCGCTGCGGACACCATGATGGAAAAGGATCGGATTGTGCTCAGCACCTTATCGGTGCATGGATGACAAGATGTTCGAAGTATGCAAGTAATGTTTTAGCTGGGAACCTCCTGCAGGAGCCGTGGCGCTACAACGCTTACCTCAAGAGGCTGCTGCAGCGCGTGGATGATGGAGGGCTGAGTCCTATCAACATGTCCCTTGCTCGCAGCTAGCGCTTGTTTCTGCCCTCACTGTGATATTTGCAGCACAGAATCAGAGCAGTGACAAAAAACTCTTGGATCCTCTTTGAAGGTTATTTATAAAGCCCTAAACCCTAAACCCTAATCCCTAAACCCTAAACCCTAAACCCTAAACCCTCTTTGCAAGGCACCTCTTCGAGGGCATGGAGAAGGGCGTGGCTGCCTTGCAGTTCCTTCAGAGGGCGAACAACATCGGGAAAGTGGTCATCAGCTCGTCGAGCCGCCTCTTGCCTCTTAAGAGTCGCCTTATTTTTTTCAACTTTCAACCTAGGGTTTAGGGGTGTTGAGGGTTTAGGGGTGTTTAGGGTTTAGGGTTTAGGGTTTAGGGTGTAGGGTTTGAGGTCTGAATTAGATTCTCTTAGAGTCGAACCTGTTTTCTGAGGCCTGCTCTGCAGCCCTGACCAGATGCCTCTACTTTCCGGTGGTCTTGGTGCTCTGGGGGTGGTCACCGCACAGTTCCTGGTTGAGGAAGGCGCCAAGTCCTTGTGCCTGCTGTCGCGCAACGGCCAGCCGGCCAAGGCCTACGGGGCTCTGAAAAGATGGGTGAATGATGGGTAGCTATTTAGGGTTTAGATGGGTTTGCGCAGATGGGTTTAGGGTTTAGGGTTTGGGGTTTAGGGCTTAGTCCCTGGTGGTACTAGGACGTTGGGCCGCAGTGGTCTTGGCTCCAGAAGTGTGCCGTGGAGCTCCGCATCGAGAAATGCGACGTTGGAAACTCCGATGCAGTTCGATGTACTGCCATGCAATGCTTGGGGAGAGAGTTGAGAGTTGAGTGTGTACCTTTGCTCAGCTTTCCTTCCGATCTCCCTTCCCCCTGCTAGTTTCTCGTGGCTGGAGGACGGAAGGAGTCCGTGGTGGCCTTGCGCGACGCGCTCGCAGGAACGGGTTCTGCTACAACTTGAGCATTTTTTTCTCTTGCTGCCCGCCGGTTCTGCTTGGAAGCATGTGCCTGCCCGCCAGGAAGCACTTTGGGAGGTCTGCTGCACCTTGCTGGGGTTCTGGCGGATGGTGTCCTGCCAAGCCTCACCCGGGAGAGCTTGGACCGTTCCTATGGTCCCAAGGCACGTAAAGGGTTGCATGTTGGGGTGTATTCTTTGGTATGTTCCCCTAGAACTACAGTCCTTGGTAGGGATTTTCGCACCCCTGGTCATAATCCCTATTCAGGCCTGTAAGTACAAGGGGGAACATCCCAATGTATTCTGTGTTTGGACGAGGTGCACGGCCTCTTCAACTTGTGCCGTATCTTGGACTTCCACAAAGCCGCGCCCCATCTGCTGTTCTCCTCGACATCTGCACTCTTTGGATCGCCAGGCTAGTGATTCCTAGCGCTTTTACGCGTGCTTTGGGATGTTTTGGGATATCCGCTGGTTGTGCAACGTTGCTGTCCAGGCCAGGCAAACTATTCGGCCTCGAATTCGGTGCTTGACTCCTTGGCACCCTTCTGGAGTTCCCAGGACGGTCATCTGCTGCAGAACTGCCGAGAACTAATAGATGGCTCCAAATTCCGAAGCCATCGAGCCCCCTTAAACCCTAGGCCCTAAACCCTAAACCCTAAACCCTAAACCCTAAACCCTAAACCCTAAACCCTAAACCCTAAACCCTTGAACAGGATCCCGATGGAGCGGACTTCCTATGGCGGAATGCCCGCTCTGTCCAATGGGGCCCATGGGCCGAGGTCGGCATGGCTGTGCAGGCAAACACCCTGGGGCGCGCCAAGTCCATGGGCGACTCAGCTGCGCTAGAAGGGACTGCAGCATCTGCTGCAACCCACGATGCAAAATGTCGCCGTGTTGTGTTCGGTGCTCCTTTTTTGGCGCTTCTACCATGGCATATTTCACATGAAGAAGCATGTTGCTGGAGTGAGGTGTTGGTGCGTTGACCAATGCCCAGGGTTTGGCCATCATGAGCAGCCACCTGGCTCTCTTTGAGCTCACTGTGTCTTTGCTAGAAGACGGCCTTGTATGTAACATGCCCCAAGACACGCTAAACCCTAAACCCCAGATCCTGGGCCACCCTCAACTAGAAATGCCAATGTGGCCTCCCAGAAAAGTGGGGGACCTAGGCATCCTGAGCAGCTCGAACCTCCTGGTGGGCGCCGTGCCAGTGCGGTGGGGCAAGTACTTGAAGATGCTCGGAAGACACGAACTTGTAGCATTCAGCCCCCTTAAAGTTCAGGGTTTTCGGGTTTCGGGCTCCTCACTCCCCACTGGTCCTCCAGCACATGGCACCAAGGAGCGCCTACCCACAAGTGCCCAGCTTCCTCAAGGACTTCGAGGCCGAAGCCAAGAAGGAGGCCCTGCGGATGCTTGCTTCGCAACTTGCGGATGCTCGTCTTGCCGCTTGATGCCCTCCACCCCTAGAGCCCGAAACTCCACACGGCCCAAAACCGCTTGAATCCCTCCAGTTTGCCGAGTGCTGGAGGCGGCCGAGGCGCGGGCCGCGAGGGGCGCGCCCGGCGATTCGGCGATCGCGGCGGCGCTGAGCGGCCTCAGTGGTGAGGAGCGCCTGGCGGCCACTTCGGCTGGGATTCCACTCCCCAAGACCGAAAACATCCGGAAACCCTCCGTAGGCTACCTCAGATTTATATGGATATATCATTAAAGGCAGCCTTTAATCGTTGAGCTCTTTTTGCTGAGGCTGTCCGCAACAGCCTCCGCGATCTAGCACGGGAGGCAGGAGAACGCATGGTGGACGCACAAGCAGCAGAGCAAGCAGCCTGCCTGCGAACCTCTCCAGGTGGTAGATGCTGCTGATCTAGAAGCTGACAGTCCTCTCATGGATTCTGGCATGGACTCTCTATCAGGCAGGATCGCACTGACGCAGTGCTGGCTGCCAAAGTTGTCGTCAACCTGAGCGCAGGTGTGGAGTTCAGGAATAGACTACAGACGGAGTTTGATGGCGTCAATCTCCCCAACTCCATGGTTTTCGACTACCCCACAGTCACTGACGCTTGGAGGGTCATTGGATGGTATGGGCAAACAAGGGTAAGGACCCTGTCTCTGGTGCATTGCCAGCAACGTTTGAGAAATCTTGAAAACGTTTCAATGAATGCTGAGGAGCTGGCAGGGTTCATCAATGGACAGCTGGGCACTTATAGCACGACTACAGCTGGTTCGGATGTGCCAGAGTGAGCAGTGGGATGTGTGGGGGGGAGCGATGCCGGGAGCAACGAGCTTAGGCTTGGTGATGCCCCGGAATCGGCAACGCCAGCGGTGTCCACAACGGCGGCTGCGCCGCAAGAGGCGTTCGTGGAACCGCTCAACACGCTGTGCAACGGCCTCACCCTCAGACTTTTCGGGAGTGCGGGCGTGATATATGGTTTCTTTAAATATAGAATTTCAAACTTCAGCAATATGTAAGTTGTGCTCTGAAACCATGATCGTGTGGGTATCCTCAGGTTCCGAGACTGCGGCAAGCAAGCCGCTGTTCCTGGTGCCAGGTGCAGGCACTGCAGGGCGGCTTGCACCTCTGGATGTTCTGCTGTCAGTGGGTTGATGTACCCGTTTCCCTGGAAACCCAGAACAAACCCAAACCCTCACGCGGAGGCATGCAAGCGGGAAGCTTCAGAACACTAGCAGCGCGCCTGGCCTCGGCCAGCTACGGCCTGACTTGGCCCAAGAGCATTCCGCGGGACCAGTGGCCAAGCAGCCTCAAGGACCTTTGTCGATTCGGGCTTGGCTTGGGGTGTATTGTTTAGGATGAGAACTTGAGGACTTCAAGAGTGTCGGGCTCGGATATCTGGACATTTGGGGTTGGTATCCAGGGCTTCCCGCCCCCCCCCCCCCCCGCCAACAACAATTTCCTCTATAAGCTATAAACTGGGCGGTAGGGGTCGAGGATTGGGGGGAAGTCTTGAGGCTTGAGGTCAAAGCTTTTCAGGCTTTGTGGCTCCCTGCACAGGGGGGCTGCGGATTAATGCAGGAAGCCGAAACAATTGACTAAAGAGAATCAGGGCAGGTCGTGGGCTACTCCTTGGAAAAAATTGTTTGGGGGCCTGTTTCGTAATGAAATTTTCAAATTTCAAAGGAATTAACACAAAGCCGCACACCAGAAAATTCCGGAGCTTCTTATTCAAAACTATTTTTGGTTTTTGGTTCCCCGGCCCCACACCCTTCATCCCGGGGCCGCGAACTTCGCACAATGGGGGGGTCCCCTATAAGTTTTCGTGGAAAAACGCTTAGTAGCGCCCCACTTTACTACACCAGGTCCAACATTAGTCTTTAAGGGTTCCAGGGTTTGCCTCAAAGGGTGTAGCGGGATATTTGGGACCTCAATAGAGGCAGTTTTCGGCACCATGGTGTCCCTTTTTTCGGGCACTCTCAGTCTGTGGCTGCGTGTTCCACAAGCAGGGACCACTTGGAGGTTCATGGTACTTACTAACCGATTATAACTGTACTTATAACTGTACTTATAACCATATTAGGGCACTTCAGGGGCTTATAAGTGGGTTATGAGTACAATTATAATTGGTCAAATAATTGGTTAGTAAGTACCATGAACCTCCAAGCACCAATTGAGGGTTTTGAGGCTTCGTTTTTGCTGGTGCAGGATCTGGCCGAGCTCTTTTTCAGGGAGATTCAGAAGGTTCAGCCGGAGGGCCCCTACCTTCTCGCTGGCCATTCCTTCGGTGCCTTGGGCTTTTGGGTGGCTGAGGAGCTGAAAAAGCCATAGCGGCAACTATGATTATGATGAATGCCCTGTTTAGGAGCATTGTCTGGATGCAAGAGTTCGAAGTAGAAGCACAATACAATTCATACATTGATAGTTAAGAAAAAGATTCGTAGTGGTATTGATGATGATCGGGTTTGGGACTTTCAGCGCGTGTTGTACTTTCACTCACCCGAGTCGCTTTCAGAATGGTGGGGGGGGGTGGGGGGGGGCTTGAATTGAAGGAGCGTTTCCGATTTCTGTCTGCCTTTCTGCTGGGGTTTCTGTGTCGGCGAAGCTTGGCCAGTGGCAAAGGCCACTGGGTGCGGTGGGGTGGGGGGTTCCATTTGGATTGTGCACATCCTTCCAATCCTGTCGGCCACCAGCTCAGCTGAAGTGATCTCCGCCTTGAGGTCGTCAACAGCAACGCTTCTTGTTGTTTTGTTTTGCTGCTTAAAGTGCATGTTTGAAGTCCGGAGTAGACGTGGTTCAGAGCTCTTCTCGCAGTGGCAAGGATTGTCGGGTCCTTTGTCTGTGAGAGTGCATGCCATCCGAAATAAGTTGACCTCACGCTTGACATCAAGGTGCCAATGTGTGTTTGGAGATAGCAGCGGTCGCCTCGTCCAAGGGGCAGCAGGTACGCCACGGGTTCTCGCTTGGCCGTAGCTGCCGAATGATGCAGGATGTCTTTGCGTGCACGCGCCCGGCCCTAAACTCTCAACCCCAAACTTTCCAATCCCCAAACTCCACCAAACCCCAAGCCGTCAGCCCAAAACCCTAAACCTTATCCCTTACATACCCAAAAACCCAACCCCCAAACTCCACAACCCTGAGCCGTGCAGGTGTCGATGGTGCTTCTGTTGGATCCACGCAGCTTGCTTCCACTTCAAGTGGATGTCCAAGCGGCCTTTGCCAAGTCAGGCGTGATCTTTGATGGGATCTTTGGGCTTCGGAGGGGGTTTAGGGTTTGAGGTTTAGAGAAGTTTGGGGTTATTTAGGGAACTTCGGGTTCTTCGGGTTGCTAGGGTTGGGTTCATAGGGTTGTTAGGGTTCATAGGTCCATAGGGTTCAGAGAGGGTTCAGAGGGTTCCCAGGGTTCGCAGGGTTTAGGGTTGCTGAAGAGCTTGAAGCACTTTGCGTTTGCAGCTCCCTTGCCCGGAGGTCTGGTTGAAAGCTTGGCGCTGTTGGCGCAGACGCTGCCGGGAGCGGAAGGGTCACGATACGCGGAGCTGTTAGATGCTCACGCCGGCGGCGGCGACGAGGTGCAGGATTTCTTTGTTTTAGCTTCTGACTGTCAGATGAGGGCCACCGCATGTAGTTACCCGTGGACAACGAGCCGTGTTATGTGGGCGCAGGCCATCCGGAAAGCATTGAGCCCTGGGGCATTGTCCTCCCTGGAGCACGTGCATGCCGCTTGTCGCTCCTAGCACTCGTTTTTCATGTCGGCTGTCCCCGCATGAACGTGCCCTTGCCATGAGATCCGAAAGCCTACTCTCACTCTCACTCTCACTCTCACTCTCACTCTCACTCTCACTCTCCACTCTCACTCTCACTCTCACTCTCACTCTCTCACTCTCACTCTCACTCTCACTCTCACTCTCACTCTCACTCTCACTCTCACTCTCACTCTCACTCTCTCTCTCTCTCTCTCATTCGCACGAACCCATCGTCCGGCATGGCTGATGCGTACCTGGCCCCCGCTCAGGAAACCACCCAGTGGTACAGCGCCTTGCTCCAGCAGGGTGAGGCTCCTCCCGCCCTCGAGGGCACGAAAGTTGCGGTGCTGCGGGCCACCATGGCCCCGGACTTAGGGTTTAGGGTTTCGAAGCCCTCAAAAGCCCTAAGCCGACAGCCTCAGGCTTGGAAATCTGCGAAGGCGGACGAGACGGGCGCCGAAAGAATCGTGCGTTGCTTGCCTTTGAGACTCTGATCGGCTCGCGTTGAACCCCCAAGAGTCCAGTGGCCTCCTAAGACTTCCCTGAGCGTCTGAGGCGAGTTCCAAGCCGTCACCTTCCAAGATGACAATGAGGTTGCAAGTCATCTGACTTCCTGTGCCGAGAGTCCGGTGGTGCTCAAGGCGGGCCTCTGGTGCTCGAGGGCACCTCTTCGAGTGCCCGGTTCTCTTAGGCGCTAGAGGCATCAGGCGGATGCATGCTCCTGAAGCCACTGAAGCCTGAAGGTTCCGGGCACGCACTTCAGCACCTCGCTTGCATGGCCTCGCGCGGCCGCAGCGCTGAACGGCTTTCAGAGAGCTCACTAATCCTGCATCCCAAACCCCAGGGCCCGGAAAGCCATGAAGCCTCTTTACATCCAACCTACTTAAGGTATGCTCCATGAGCCGAACGTCGCCAGCTGAGTTCTGAACATATACATGCCGCATAATAAGTATTCACTTATGATTAGTTATTACTATATGTATAGATATGTATGCACTATATATATATATATATATATGCATACATATATATATATATATATATATGTATATGTATATGTATATGTATATGTATATGTATATGTATATGTATATGTATATGTATATCTACAAACATGAGTATGATAAAGCTGCGGTGCAGAAGTTGCTATTGGTTCAGGGCTCCAGCCCGCAGCTCAGGTGATGAAAGTGGCCTTGCAGGTCTGTTCAGCTTTGAACAGCTTGGAGGAAGACGAAGAGTAGGCCATCCTGGGTTGACCAAAACGCCGGAAGGTGATGCCCCCAGAACTAGCCGAATGGCGGAAGGGTGCCAGCAATCTGCACTTGACATGTGCTTTGCTTTCTGTATGTTAGGGTTTAGGGTTTAGGGTTTAGGGTCTGTGTAGTACCCGAAGCAAGAGTTCTGGGCTTCAGGGGGGCTCAAGAGCTTTGGAGGCGTCCAGCTGCGCAGCCCGCGCAGTGAGGAGCGCAGATTGACAAAGCACACCGGCTACAATGCCAACCCGAACAGCAAGGCTGCGGCGCGAGAACCTCTTAGAGGAATCTAGACAACCAAAGGCACAAAAAACAGCAAATAGGCCTAATGCCATCTTAGAGTCACGGTTGCGGGTTGGCGTTGGCAGCTGCCTAGATGAAGGGTGAGGACCCAGAGCACCAGTCACAGCTGCCAAAGCGAACCACACCCAAGCCCTCAACCACTAGACCACCCTCCGGGGCCCTTACCCTGGTCGGGGAAACTTGTCCCTGACTTCGCAAAAAGAGACCCCTCAATTAGAATCTGTTATGGAGACTACCATTCTTTCGGGTTTCCCCGGCACAACGCCCCGAAGAAATCCGAGCATCCCCAAAGATGGATGCACCAAGAGCAGCCCCGAGTCTGTTGAGTCTCGTCGGCCAGGCCCATGGATTCTCCCGCCAACTCAGGTAGCTTGGGGGGTTTGGGGTTTAGGGTTTAGGGTTTAGGATTTAGGGTTTAGGGTAGAGGGACTAAGCTTCAGGGTTGACCTAAGTGCCTGAGGCACGTGTGCCGTAACCCGGCGGAGACTCAAAGGACTCGACGAGGAAGATCTGTGCGCACGTGGCTTTCAAAGTGCGCAGAATTTTCGGCTAGGATCTGTGACAGCTTCGGAACGCCTCTTTCAGGCTTTCAATTATTTCAATAGCTACTCGAAAAAAGGCCCGTGTTTCAGGGACGATGGGATCCTATTGGGAGGGTCTAAGGCTGGGTTGGGGTTTATGTTGGTTTAGACTTTAGGGAGTAGGGTCTTGTTGTGGCCGACACAGTTGTTGGCAGCTTCCGGCCCAAACCGGCACGTATGGATCCATATCAAGAGTGACCCAGCGAACAGGCAACAAGCAGGCAATTTGCATCCAACCTGGACAGGCGAAGCAGATTGTTTTTTCCTGCTGCGTTGCGGAAACGGCAGCGCAAAGCGTTTCACTGCCTGCTGCAAAGACTGCGCGGGCGCAGTAGCTACTACACCGTACCCCCATTTCCCCAGAACGTATCGCGGAGGGGCTAGTTGTGCCAAATCCTTGCCCGCTGCCCCGAAGTGGATACAAAAACACAACAACAATGATGCAGCCCTGAGCCCTGAGCCCAAAGCCCTAAGCCCTAAGCCCTAAACCCTAAACCCCAAACCCCAAAACAAAAGCCGGCCACAGCGTGGAGTCCTTGCCATGCCGCGCGATGGCAGGGCAGCCCCTAAGGCTAAGGCGAAGCTGCCGAAGCTGCAGCCGAACGTTAACAGGCCTGTGGGGTTTAGGGTTTAGGGTTTATGGGGGTTTGGGCCTTGGGGATTGCTTGTTTGGGTTTCGGGATTTTCGGACGTTCAGGGATTTGAGTTTTTTTGTTGGGTGTGGGGTCTTAGGATGTTGTTCAGAAGAAGGATGAAGGTTTGGGAGGCTCGGCTGCTAAAGGATTGAGGGGTCACTCGGTTTAGGGTTTGGGGTTCAGGAGTTGAGGGTCCAGGGCCCTGGTCCCTAAGCCCTCAACCCGAGTGTCCCGAACCATTGCGCAGCAAGGCGGGCGCAGCAGATCATCACTGCGCACATGCAGCTCGAGGACTTATTACTTTTATTATTGTTATTAGTGTTTTTTTATTAGTATTAGTATTTCTACTACTACTACTACCACTACTACTACCACTACTACTACTACTACAACAACAACAACAACTACTACTACTACTACTACTACTACGACTACTACTACCTACTACCTACTACCTACTACCTACTACCTACTACCTACTACCTACTACCTACTACCTACTACCTACTGCCTACTGCCTACTGCCTACTGCCTACTGCCTACTGCCTACTGCCTACTGCCTACTACCTACTACCTACTACCTACTACCTACTAAGTTACTACTAACTCCTACTAACTCCTACTAACTACTACTACTACTACTACTACTACTACTACTACTACTACTACTACTACTACTACTACTACTACTACTACTACTACTACTACTACTACTACTACTACTACTACTACTACTACTACTACTACTACTACTACTACTACTACTACTACTACTACTACTACTACTACTACTACTACTACTACTACTACTACTACTACTACTACTACTACTACTACTACTACTACTACTACTACTACTACTACTACTACTACTACTACTACTACTACTACTACTACTACTACTACTACTACTACTACTACTACTACTACTACTACTACTACTACTACTACTACTACTACTACTACTACTACTACTACTACTACTACTACTACTACTACTACTACTACTACTACTACTACTACTACTACTACTACTACTACTACTACTACTACTACTACTACTACTACTACTACTAGGGGTATTGCGCGTATTTGACGCTGTGTCATCCTTCATTTTCCATGTTTTCCCATGTTCTTCCAGAGACGAAAACACTGCTATTTGCAGTGTTTTCTGCTCATGCATTGAATGCTATGCCACACTCCGCCAATTCCCAACGGCGACGCCCATGAGGGCCTTTCGATTTTTTGTGAGGGTCTTCGGTTTCCCATGAGGGCCTTTGATTTCCCATGAGGGCCTTGCCCCAATAATTTGTGATTAAAATTGGCTTTGGCTTGGCTTGGCTTGGGGGGGTGGGGGGGGCTTGGGGCTGGGGGGGGGGTGACCTGGGGTTTTGGGTTTAAGGCTATAGGAGTTTTGGCCTGGCACTTCAAGCTTCGGGATTTCTGGTTTTCGGTTTCAGGGTAGACGAGTTTTGAGCTTGCACTTGAAGCTTCGGGGTTTGGGGTTTAGGGCTTAAGGGTACACGGCTTTTGGGCCTCCACTTGAAGCTTCGGGGTTTAGGGTTTAAGGGTCCAGGAAATTTGGGCTTCCACTTGAAGCTTCGGGGTTTGGGGTTTAGGCCTTAAGGGTACCGGAGTTTTGGACTTGCACTTGAAGCTTCGGGGTTTGGGGTTTAGGGCTTCAGGGTCCAGGAATTTTGGGCCTCCACTTGAAGCTTCGGGGTTTGGGGTTTAGGGTCCAGGAAATTTGGGCTTCCACTTGAAGCTTCGGGGTTTGGGGTTTAGGGCTTAAGGGTCCAGGAATTTTGGGCCTCCACTTGAAGCTTCGGGGTTTGGGGGTTAGGGCTTAAGGGTCCAGGAATTTTGGGCCTCCACTTGAAGCTTCGGGGTTTGGGGGTTAGGGCTTAAGGGTCCAGGAATTTTGGGCCTCCACTTCAAGCTTCGGGGTTTGGGGTTTCGGGCTTAAGGGTACACGGCTTTTGGCCCTTCACTTGAATTTGGAGGTTTGGGGGCGTCCCTCATTCTCAACGCTGCTTCTCCCCGTGCAACTTTCGTGGTCTTTGTCTGGCACTCATTTTGGAGTACCTGCATAGGTAGTGCAAGTCTCCAGCCGGTGGCCCGGCTGCCCACACACACGGCATCTATGTCTGTGCTGCTTCGGCATGGCTTTCCTTTCGCATTCGAGCATGGAAACAAGCGAAGACAAGTCCGAGATTGCAGCCTTGACCTTACAAGACAGGAAATTCATGTAATTGGCGTCGTCGTTGGGAAATGAGCACTCTGCCCAAGAACGCTGGTTTTACCGATGGAAAAGGCACTTCGGACGCAGACGGACTGTTTTGGCTCCTGTTATCACTATATTTTGTGTTAGTTTCATTTTTCCTAGTATGCTATTATTGCTATGCCAATTATTCTTTCTATTCTTCTTCCCATTATGCTTACCATGTTCATTATACTTATTACAATAATGCGATTATTAGTACGACTTAGGATGATTATGATTACTAATTGTTACAAGCAGTACGATGACTACTGTTATGACTAGTAGTACCATTATTACCGTTAGTACTGTTATTACGAATATTCCGATGAGTACTAGCATCACCATTGTCGCTGTTATTACTATGACTACTATTTCTTAAGTGGATGTAAGATTTCGGGTTTGGATGTCAGATTTCGGATTTTTTAGAACTTAGGGTGTAGGGTTGTTGAGGGCTGTAGGGTTGTTGAGGGTTAGCTTCTGAAGCCAAGCTCGCATGGGCTCGTAACAGACCGGCTCATCCACACGCAAGATCACGCTTCTCGTATCATTCTTGCACTGCATCGATACACCTTGCTTGGCTGCAATTGTGCTTCAGACCTGTCGAAGTTCCCCTCCCTGTGCGAGGAGCAAGGGGATGTGGGAACTGTGTCCACAACCAGTGTGCCCATACTCTCCAAGTTGGAGCGAGTCTTGATCATTACTTGCGCTTGGCCCGAGTATTCGTCCGTCATCAAGGTGCGTGTGTGTGAGAGCCCACCTTGGCTCAGAGTCAACCAAGGAACTGCTCCAAGAACCGCACGCTCTCATGATGTCTCCCACCTTTGTGACCAGCCGATGCACCTTACGCCGAGCATCCCAATGTCGCTCATCGAGGAGAAGGACCATGCATCTTGGTGCAGCAGGTTACAGTCCTTCCCTTCAGACAAAACAGGGTTTATCGATTCGTGTTTCGGGTTTAAGTATGGTTTAGGGCCGTTCAGGGTTTAGGGAGTTCGGCTTTCGTTCTTATGCTGATAAACACGACGGAAGGAGGAAGCGTATGGAGACGTTACGGTAAGTTGCAGGGGCTCTTGCAGATCGCTTCGCGATTTCGAGGTATACGAAAGCAGCTTCCTTCCGGTGGACGCTTCCAGCGCTTACCGTGAAGAGGATGGCCTCTGGCACACCAAGGCAAGGACGGGTGGACTGGAGTGCATTGCACCTTCCTGGTCCATTCTCTGCATGATGGTTTCTCTTTGTGGGTACCCCAAACGTGTAAGGGGCAGTGCTCCAAGAGAAGTTTCAAAGGGACCACCGTAGTTTGGAGAGCTGTCTTTATGACCGTTCAGGTCTTCCCTTCCGACAACCCTTCGAGCCGTACCGATGCGGTGATGCTGGACAACTGGATCAGCAGATCACTTGAGGAAGTGGAGGACAACCTTGTAGCAGCTCGATGAAAGTAGGCCGCCTTTGACAGACGTCACTACCATGGTTTAGGGTTTAGGGTTGAGGATTCCAAAGCTTGGCCCACTTGGGGCTTCGCATAAGGCCGCACACCGCAGCCGGGATGACTTCGCGGACACGGTGCCGCGGCCGAACAAGCATTTCGGGCGTGCGCAGCCCCTGCGCCCCTATAGACCCTAAACCCATAATCAGAAGACTAAAAATAAGAATGATCATAGTAGTAATAGCAAGAATGATCAGAAGACTAATTATGACAATATGAAATAACAAAACTGCTCCCAAATCCTCAGCCCTGGCAGGTACAAGAGCTCGTGCCCATCCTCTCGGTGGCATTGCACGAGATCGTTCGACAGGTGATGCACCACTGTCCCGAACGAGGCTTGCAGATGGCCGCATGGGGGGTTGTTCAGGGCCTTTGGGACTTAGGGTCTTAGGGTCCTAGGGTTTAGGGCTCAGGGTCTTAGGGTGTTAGCGTGTTAGGGTTTAGAGTTCGGAGACTGCTGGAAGAGCTGTCGCCCGCCTCATCTTGTATCGACTCAGCTAGAACTGGCCTAGGTTGATCGCATAGAGGCTACTGTAGATCTGCTCAACACCTTCGGGATAGGCAGCTGAGTCAGCCACACTGCTGTCTTTGGGCAGGTGCTGCTCTGCAAAAGATCTGGCGGACCTACGTGGACCGCGTTGACTTTGAGAGTAGGCTGAGAGGAAGTCTCGGTCGGTCCTTATGCAGGCAGTTTTAGGGTTTAGGGTTTGGGGTTTGGGGTTTAGGGTTTAGGGTTAACAGGCGCAGGGAGATGAGTGATTCTTGACAAGGAGCTCTTCGAGCGTGTGCTGGAGCAGATGCGACAGTCCTTGAAAGTTCACAAGGCCAGCTCAAGATTCAGGGCCTCATACTCTTGCCATTTTCAGAACAGCCATATGGCTATTTTGTTCATTGCTGTTTTGTTTTTTTTGTTTTATGGCTGTATGTTTTGTTGTTTTTGAGCTGTGTGGTCATGTTGTCATGCTGTCATGTTGTTTTGTTGCTGTTTTGTTATGATTGTTCTTCGCAGTATTCGTACTCTTGTATTCCTGGGGCAGTAGCATGATTCGCACGATTAGTCTGACTAGTCTGGAGTATGGTTAGTATGATGAGTATGATGAGTATGAGTATGATGGGTATGACTGGTATGTTTTCAGCATGTTTGTCGACCTCACCACATCCACCTTTAGCACTGCTCGTATGCTTAGCTTGACAAATACTGTACATCTTGTATCCAAACATGTTGGCACGGTCGCAAATGTCTTCCAGAAGAAGTTGGAGACAGGTCATGATGGGGCTCAGCCTGCCAATGATCGATCCATCTCGAAGACGCAGTTCTCATCGTGTTTGTCTTGCAGGTTGTTGATTGAATGTCCCGTTTTGGCAGCATCTATGTTTCGAGCAGTTGAAGAATTTTATGCAACATACTTGGCGCCATACTTGGAGGTGTCTGTGTCTGTATACACTGGATTGTCTTCGGCATAGGAAAGCAAGTTTATAAACTACAATACTCCACGCCTACAAAAAGACAAAGAGCTAACCCACCGAGAGCGAGTGCATGTTTACAAGAGGCCGTTGCAAAGGTTACACGGCCTCGAACGCGCGTTTTGCGCCGTGTTATCGACGGTGGAACGCTTATCCTCGAAGCTACGAACTGAAAGATGCTCCAGGAGCGCACCGGCGAGATTCAGCACCAGCTCAAAGAAGCCAACCAGGCCATTGTTTCAAACCAGGGCTGGGGGGGAAGGCCGGAGGTTCTTGGCAGTTAGTCTGTGGAGACCTCTAGAGGCGGCAGAGAAAAACTTGTGGCTTTGGCTTCGTGCATGGCAAGAATGCCCTGCGACGAGGAAGTGAAGGATCTCAAGCGAGATCACCCGGAGCAAATGCACACGATCATCTCAGAGCTGGAGGCACTATTAGGGTTTGGGGCATGCTGGGGGCTGTAGGCTTTGCAGGGTTTGCTTGGAGGTTCAATATGGTTATAAACAGTAAAAAGACCAGTGAAAAAGAAACAGTTTCTGTTGTAATTGCTTAATAAGTGCCATGAACCTCCAAGTAGTGCTTTGGGGGGTCTAGAATGAGAGGCTGTTGATAGGGCCTGCCTCGGAGCCCTGATAGCATCTTGCTGCAGTCCATGAGCTGCCCCAACTGCTGCGAAGGCCAAGTTCATGCAACGCCAGCGCAACTACGAGCAGGACTTGCAGGAGGTGCCATGCCGATGTCCTCTGGGAAAAAGGGCTCCTTCAAGCACCCATGAGAGAGTTAACGGTGTAATATAAGATATTAAACTATTAGAGTAGAACATATCCGTTATTATTCAAGATGTGTAGCCTCACACCCTGAGCAACACCCTGAGCACTATTACAGGCGGAGGAGGAGAACCTCTCAGCCAAGACTGCCATTCGTACCCAGCACCGTGAGCTGGAGAACTGGTATCCAGGCAGCCCGTGTGCCCAGCGCAGCGTGCAGCAGCCGCCTCGGTCGTACGTGCACGACAGGTTTCGCTCACTACCAGGACTCGTTTGTGAAGAACCTGCTGCCTCAGACGGAGCATGGCTTGAGCCCAAGATCCGCTGCCACAGGTAGTCTCATGTCTCTGAATCTAGTTTTGGGTGCTGCAGTGCCGGCAAACCCAGATGAGTTAATATGTTGACAACAGGAACCCAAGTCTCCCACCCCCCCCCCCCCAAATCTGGGAACAAGTGGAGAGCTGAGCCGAAGAAGGCCTCTGCCATGTCAAGCAGGCGTAGCCGTAACAACGGGTTTAGGATGCTGATTTTGGGGTTGTCCCTGCCGCGAGGCTGTCCAACAGCTAAGCAAAGTAAGTTGCTTTCAGATGATCACTACTTTGAGCCTGCGTGGGTTTGTGCTTGCTCGTGATCGACATGCAATGCCGGCAGTCGACGGGCATGGTACAAGTTCGTTGTGATCCCTCTCCCTCTCCCTCTCCCTCTCCGTCACCCTCTTCCTCTCCCTCTCACTCTTTATCGGTATTGTGTTGGAGAATTCCAGCGTGGCCCGAAGTTTTGAGAAGAGTGCAGTGTTGCCCATCTTTGATATTGTTTCCGGGGGGGAGTTTACTTCATTGCCTAGATGGTTCGACCGCGAAGGCCATGTTCAAGGATCGGAGGGTGTGCGATCAGAAGCAGCCGCATCTCAAACCCGTTATCTGGTGCCTGAGTTCCCTTGGCAACTTCTTTTTACAGTTTGCCCTGGACTTTGAACCCTGAAGGATTCGGCCGCAGAAGATGCGGTTCCTGAAGTGGCAATGGCAGAGGCCAGATCCCTTTTGGACACGAGCAGGGTAGAGTTTAGGGTCAATTCAGGTCAAGATCTATGTAGCATCAGAAGCCTCCCCAAACCCCAAAATTCCTCAACCCTAAACCCTAAGCCCTAAACCCTAAGCCCTAAACCCTAAGCCCAAGATGAGCAGAGAGGACTTCAAGCGGCTCCTGGCGGCTTTGCCACCGGACAAGCGCAAGATCATAGGCCTCGGATGCAGCCTCCCATGTTACACATCCAGGGATCCTTCGATGATGTGGGTTTAGGGTGTAGGGTTTAGGGTTTAGGGTTTAGGGGATTTCAAGTCCAGTCTTCCAGGGCTTGGGGTTTAGGGCTCAGAGGAGGGAGCGCATGATGTAGAAGCCCTGGGAGAGCCTGCAGGCAAGGACTTGATGGGCTTGATCGACGGCGAGGAAGTGCAGCGCATGCAGCAAGACGACGTTCCGCTCAGCTTGGAGGAGCTTTCTGCTGGGATTGGTTTGGACCCTCATCCCCCACATATCCTAAACTTTGGCCCTAAACCCTAAACCCCAAACCCTAAACCCTAAACCCTAAACCCTAAACCCTGAACCCTAAATATGGCCCTTGGAAATGTGGGCTTTTGGGGGGGCGCCCCCCGATCCACCCTAGTTTAGGGTTTCAGGCTTGGGGTGTTGGGGGTGTGGTGAAAGCTACATCCCTAAACCCTAAACTTTAAACCCTAAACCCTAAACCCCAAACCCTACACCCTACAGCCTACACCCTACACCCTACAGACACCCTACACCCTACACCCTACACCCTACACCCTACACCCTACACCCTACACCCTACACCCTACACCCTACACCCTACACCCTACACCCTACACCCTACACCCTACACCCTACACCCTACACACCAGGACCAGCAACAGGAGATCGAGGAGATCGAGCGCCTGCAGGGCGAGCTGCAAAAGCAAGAGGTGCTTCTAGGGGTATCCTCTACTTGGAGGTTCATGGTACTTGAGGGTTTAGGGCTTAGGGTATAGGAGTACTTATTAAGAGTTGTACTTGTAACCCACTTATGAGCCCCTTAAGTGCCCACAAGTTATAAGTACAGTTATACTTGGTGAATAAGCACCATGAACCTCCAAGCAGAGTGCAAGGTGTTGGGGGTTTAGGGGCTTCAGGGCTTCAGGGCTTCAGGGCTTCAGGGCTTCAGGGCTTCAGGGCTTCAGGGCTTCAGGGCTTCAGGGCTTCAGGGCTTCAGGGCTTCAGGGCTTCAGGGCTTCAGGGCTTCAGGGCTTCAGGGCTTCAGGGCTTCAGGCTTTGGGGTTTCGCCTTAGGGACTTAGGGACTTGGGGCATAGGGTCGCCGCGGTCTACTGGCAGTGGCAGGCAAGATTGCCTCCGTGGCCTCACTGGCTTTGCAACACTTCCCGCATCCAGCAGACTCAGACACAAACCCTAAACGCCTGAACTCTAAACGCCTAAACCCAAACGCCTAAACCCTAAACCCTAAATCCTAAACCCTAAACCCTAAACACCCGATAAACCCTAACTTGGAAGGAACACATCAAGAAGCTGAAGCTGGAGATTGCTCAGCAGCTTGGCTTAACTCTCGTTGCCTCGGGTGGCGGGTGGATGTGCCTTCGGGGTTTAGGATTTAGGGTATAGGGTTTAGGGTTTAGGGTTTAGGATTTAGGGTCTAGGGTCTAGGGTTTAGGGCTTCTCCTTGCCTTGTATTATTTTTCACATCGCAACGCAGGATCGAGACGGCGAATCTTCCCAATGACCTGGACCATCCCGTGAACGACGAGGAGATCGGATGCTGTAAGTCCCATGCCTACGGTGACTGTTTTTAAACATGTGGAGGGCGGGCCCGGGCCACAAGCCACAGAGGTAGTATAAAATGTCTATTTAAATTTCCGTGTGTTTACTTGTATAATCTAAGTGCCCTTGCTTTGCCCTGGCACTTGGGGCAACTCGCCGACGCCTGGAATTGGGTTTAGTGCTTTTCAGTGGTTTGGATAGAAAAATACTCGAGGGGCTCTCGGGGGGCCTTTGGGGTTTCTGGGCTTTTGCAGGCTTTACAGGGCCGTGGGAAGCCAGAAAGTCCTAGGTTTTTGTGGGCTTGGGGCCTTTCAGGGGCGGGAAGAAGCCAGAAAACACCCTAGGACAATGTCCTAGGTTTCTGTGGGCTTGGGGCCTTTCAGGGGTGGGAAGAAGCCAGAAAACACCGTAGGACAATGTCCTGGGTTTCTGGGGCTTGGGGCCTTTCAGGGGTGGGAAGAAGCCAGAAAACACCCTAGGACAATGTCCTAGGTTTCTGTGGGCTTGGGGCCTTTCAGGGGTGGGAAGAAGCCAGAAAACACCCTAGGACAATGTCCTAGGTTTCTGGTGCTTGGGGCCTTTCAGGGGTGGGAAGAAGCCAGAAATCACCCTAGGACAATGTCCTAGGTTTCTGGGGCTTGGGGCCTTTCAGGGGTGGGAGCCAGAAAACACCCTAGGACAATGTCCTAGGTTTCTGGTGCTTGGGGCCTTTCAGGGGTGGGAAGAAGCCAGAAAACACCCTAGGACAATGTCCTAGGTTTCTGGGGCTTGGGGCCTTTCAGGGGTGGGAAGAAGCCAGAAAACACCCTAGGACAATGTCCGGGCCTCTCAGGGGTGGGAAGAAGCCAGAAAACACCCTAGGACAATGTCCTAGGTTTCTGGTGCTTGGGGCCTTTCAGGGGTGGGAAGAAGCCAGAAATCACCCTAGGACAATGTCCTAGGTTTCTGGGGCTTGGGGCCTTTCAGGGGTGGGAGCCAGAAAACACCCTAGGACAATGTCCTAGTTTGCTCTTTCAGGGGTGGGAAGAAGGCAGAAAACACCCTAGGACAATGTCCTAGGTTTCTGTGGACTTGGGGCCTTTCAGAAAACACCCTAGGACAATGTCCTAGGTTTCTGTGGCTTGGGGCCTTTCAGGGGTGGGAAGAAGCCAGAAAACGCTCTAGGACAATGTCCTAGGTTTCTGTGGGCTTGGGGCCTTGCAGGGGTGGGAAGAAGCCAGAAAACACCCTAGCACAATGTCCTAGGTTTCTGGGGCTTGGGGCCTTTCAGGGGTGGGAAGAAGCCAGAAAACACCCTAGGACAATGTCCTAGGTTTCTGTGGGCTTGGGGCCTTTCAGGGGTGGGAAGAAGCCGGAAAACACCCTAGGACAATGTCCTAGGGTTCTGGTGCTTGGGGCCTTTCAGGCGTGGGAAGAAGCCAGAAAACAGCCTAGGACAATGTCCCAGGGCTGAAAGCCTGCAAGCCATTACAAAAGTCTAAGCCCAAACCCCAACCCACAACAACACCTTCAACCGACAGCAGGCAGCCGACGTCGTGGACGACCCCGTTTCCACGGGGGTATTTTTAATGGTGATGGTTTCCGGGTGTTTGAAAAAGGGGCGGCCCCATCCAACCCCTCACGGAGGTAGTATAAAATATTTGTTTTATTTATTTAAATGTCCGCATATTAAAAAATAGGCACCGTACATCTAAGTCTGAGCATGAAATATCGGGCCTTTGCAGACGAGCCTTTCTCCTGAGCCCGAGTTGTGGTCAGGATGGGTTGTCCATGCCGGGTGCGGAGCTCAGACCAAAGTCGAGTTTGTTGTTTGTTGCGTTGTGCAGTGAGGTGAGCTCCACAAGATCTTTGCAAGATCGTTGGTCGTGTTCTGAGTCACTGAGGCGTCTTGATCGTTGGCGTGCTGCTCTCAGAGCTTTGCAACGTTCGATGCGAATCTCAACCCTAAACCCTAACCCTAAACCCCAAAACCATGAATCTTGTCTTTGAATTCCTGAGCTCTTGCCGAGGGGACTTCGAACGAGCGTGCGGAAAGCCGCGCGAGCAGCAGCAAGACCGAGTGACAAGAAGATTCAAACCTCTGTTTCCTTGCATGTCAAGATAATATTCCCTGTATTACCCTTACAAGGAAGAACATTTGCATTTTACCCTTGTACGGATTTGTTAAGTTTTTTTGGGATTCTTAAGCATCGTAGCAGAGCGGAATGCAGGCATGTTAGTTCAACACGTTGGACCTATCGGAATCCTGTGACGTTCAGTTCCCGAAGTGTTCTGATCACAGAAGCTTGCGGGGGAGATGATGGTGAGACCACAAGAGATACCCTGGGTAGGGTTAGGGGGACCCTTAAAAGGGAATACGCCCCCAAGGGTCCCCCTAATCCCATCCCCTAAGATAAGTAATTTTGCAATACAAGCCAAAACATCCTCCATCTGAGATTGAGCCAGCAGAGCATACAGAGATTGTTATCACTAGTTTGTCACCACGTCATCAATTCCTGCTGATGCGCTTGCTCATTCGAGTTATGATGCGCTTATGGTTGTGTAAGTTCCAATGGGAATGGTTCAAAACCGTTGGGTTTTTATGTCAAGTGATTTCCAACATAGAAGCCTAGATGGACAGAATGATTGGAACCCTCATGGCCGAAGTTGCACAAGATCGGTTTAGGCGCTAGTGCATTTTATCCCTGCCATTGCGGACAGGCAACGCTCCCAAATAGTTCCGGGGCTCCTCGGCAGTATCGATAGTGGCCAAGTGTCTGAAGCATCATTTACACGGATTTGTTGAACAGTCGTGAAATAGACCTTGCGCGCGCAAGCTTATTTGCATCTGTAGCGTATCGGCCCCGGACTTGACTTGGGTTCCTTTGCTGCCGTCCAGTACTCCTGTTGTTAGGCGCGATGTTGGAGGTTCACATTTCGAGTGCCACCACAGGCCAGAACATCAGTGTGGTGCATGCAGGCCATGATTGGACAGTGCATGAGCTCAGCGGAAAGCTCGCTAGCCAGCTGGATGTTTTGCCGTATTCTCAAGTACTGCTGCATGGGGCCCAACCTTTGAAAGGCCACGAGCGGTTACAGGATTTCTTGGATGCGGAAGGGGCAACTACCCTGGAACTTCAGTTGTTGCGCAAGTCATGGGTGGTGACCGTTGCCGACCATCGGCCGGAAAGCAAAAGTGCTGGAAAGGCAGGCTCCGGCGACAAACTGGAGGTCGACGTCGAAGCGTATCCTGGTTGTTCCTTGAGGGACTTCTGTGCCCGCGTCGCTGAGAAATTTAATTTCAAGCCAGCAACCCGGCCCCAGCTTGCCGTCAATGGGCAGAGTATCAACTGGCAGACAGAGTCTGAGACGAGTTTGGCCGATTTGGGCATCCAGCCAGATTCAAACGTGCGTGTGATTGGAGTTTCAGACTTGCCTTTAGTGTGCATTGGGACCCCTGCCCTGCAAAGCCGAAGGTCGGAGTTTCTGGAATCCAACTGCGCTTTGAGCCTGATAGATCAGTGCCAAGCAGGCCATTTTCACTTCTATCCGCAGCGGGGGGCCGCTTGGAGGCGCGCACAACCCTCACTGCAGGTCCTGCATTCCGGCGAATCCTCGCGCCACTGCGATGCGATCTTTCAGATTGCAGGGTTCCTCACAGAAACGGAGTGTAACAGCATCAGTGCCAGCGCGAATGCACTGGCGCTGCCACCCACGAAAGTGGAGTGCTTCAGGGGCACCCGTCGCTATCAACGGCTGGTGGCGCGAGACGGGCGCCTAGCTTCCCAGCTGTGGGAACGGGCGGAGCGCTGGGTACGGAAGGCCTTTGCGGACAGGAGTACGCGGCCCTTAGGTTTTGGTTGCGTGCAGGGCGACTGGGAATTGGCAGGGCTGAACCCTTGTTTCCGTGTGAATTCCTATGGTCCCGAGGGGTTTCTGAAACCGCACCGTGATGCGCCTTTCAGCCCAGATGTGAATGCACGGTCACTGTGCACGCTGCTCATTCCACTCAGCTCTGTCGGCAAAACCCGCTTCTTCCATCCAGTGCAGGAAGGCTTTGATTATCGTGGGATGACCCTGCAAGAAGAGCTCGAAGCCCGGGGTGGTTTGGCTGCTGGGTTCCGTGCCCTGGACGTGTGCCTCTCTGCAGGCTCGGCGCTCCTGTTTGGTCAGGGCTTGCTCCACGAGGGCATCCCGGCAGATGGGAACCAGCGCAAGGTGCTACTTCGGACTGATGTCCTGGTGCGGCGCAGGCCGCCAGTGCCAGCGGTGCTCATGACGGCTGCCGAGCGGAAGGACCAGACTGCAGCCCTGCGGTGGTTCAGGGAAGCGCAGCACCAGGAGTTAAGGCAGAAGCCTTGCAACGATCTTTACGAGCGGGCGCTTTCTTACCGGTACTTCTATCCTAGCGAGGACGTCGATGAGATGTTGGAACCAGTTCGAAGCATCCGGCCTGACACTGCGGCTGTGGATCAACCGTCTGTTCTCCCGAGCACAAGGCTTGAGAGATATCCCGACTTCGTGCAGCCTGAGCTGATCCATTTGATGGGCCCGGTCGCCGCCTTCAGGCTTCCACACGAGCAGCCAACGGAGCCCAGCAGCCAGAACAACGGGTTCGCGGACGACACCCCACCTGCCCCAAAGTCACAGAGCACGGCAAAGCACTTGCGAGCCTCGGCCATGTATGCGCTGCATATGCTGGGACACCATGGATACAGCCAAGCAGTGTACACGGTGAACTTCGACCCCCAAAGCCAGCAAGTCACCGCCGTGCCCCTGAAAGACTTGCTGGTGGCAGCTTTTGAGGCACGGCCCTGCTACGGTGCCATTTACAATGTGGCTCAGCGCCATGACACGGTGGAGGAGGACTTCGAGGCTGCAGTCGACCGGACGAACATGGCCCTACAGCACGGCTGTGCCCACATCGGCCTGGACCTCCTGGCAGGCTTGAAGAGCGAGGTCTTCGCCGGTGATTACAGCAGTGGCGGTGTGGATCTGCGCGACGATGACAAGATCGAGGAGCTTCATGGAAGGCGTTTCAGCGCAAGCATCCGGCAAAAATACCAGGACAGCTTCAGTGGCCGCTCATGGCCAGCACCGGAAACACCTGACTGGCAGAGGTATTTGGGCAAGCTTCTGTCGGACGAGGCTGGCAAACCTGGTTTGGATCTTGTTGCGACGGCGGTGGGCGAGCGCAACTTGTCGTTAGACATGGGCCATGTTGAGGAGGACATTGACGTCGAGGCGCGACCCTTGAATCATTTGGTCTTCGATTTCAGCAAGCACGAACTGGTAGTGCACTCGCATGCCCAAGCGCCAAGTCCCAGGGCACCGTACGACCCTGAAGCTTTGTGGCTGGAACTTCTGCAGCAGTGGTATACACACTGGTCTCAGCCGAAACCGCGCATACCGCGGCTGCCGAAACCGCGGATACCGCGGCTGAGGAGGGGAAGGAGCAGCCCCAGGTCTCGTTCATCAAGCAGACCCTCGAGTCCGGCACCTGACCGCAGCCCAAGCCCGAGGAGACGAAAAACCGAAGGCAAGACGTGCACAACTAGCACAGCCTCCACCGCAACCTCCACAGCCTCCACCGTGCGCCTTTATGACGACCTGAAGCTTAACAGAAGCCAGGGTGAGGGACTCCAACCGTTGGAAGACAAGCTGCAGGGCAACGTGGTGCTCAAAATCACAGCTCGTTCAGAGCCTTTGGGTCAAGTTCGTCCTGTCACTCTTATTAAGGACACTGCGGAGTCCCTGGCGGTGTTTATTGATGGCAAGGCTTTGCATTGCATGGTGCGTGGCGCGATGGACGTTCTGCCCCACAAGAACTGCATCCAGTGGTCCACAGGAGGACAGACGAGTTGCTGGATTCTGGACGACATCGACCCGCAGGCTGTGACTGATTTTCTTGGTTCTCCTGGATACATCTTTGAACGTTATGAGGTTTCTCTAGCCGCGATTGCGCGGGAGGGCGCGGGCTTCCACCATGCGGCTGAGATGAATGGCGTCGAGAGGATCTTGCAAGTACAGGTTGAGCACGCCGGCCTTGCTCTGTCTGACCACACCACGACTGTACTTTGTGGCGTGGCAGCTGACCCGCAGACGGAGGCTGCGGTGGTTTGGACAATCTACCACGGCTTGTCTGCCTTGTGAGCTTGAGAGCTCATGGCTCATGCCGTCCGAGACAATCTGCAGAGCGTGTCTGCTTTGCTAGTCTGGAGGCCCTCAAGGTGGCATGGTTGCTTGCGCAATGTACAGTAAGCGCAAGGCCATAGGGCCGGCAGGATGCGCCAAACATGCCGGACAGG